GAACTGTTTGACTGAACATTGCATTTCTTCAAGTAAGTGAATATGCATTTGTCAACTCTTCAATGATCAAAGAAAAGCTCAGGGTTCATTATTTTGGTTCTTAAGTTGCACACATTTTATAGCCATAGATATTTTGATTCGTAGCCATTTTTTTTTTTTTTTAATAAATATGTTTCGTAGGGATCACTACTCACTGAACCACCTATGTGTGTTCCACCTAGCTGCCGGATTCCCTGGACCAAAGCTCTCTTCTTGTCCCGGTTCTTGATGCCAGAGATCTGAAAAACACGGGTGGAGCTCGCCATCCTAGCAAGGAAACAGAAATAAAGGAACACAAAATGAATGTTGAATCTGACAAATGTTTTGTATAAAACAAGAAGAATAAAGAAAGTTCTCCTGCAGTTCGTGTTTAAATACATGACTTGGAAAGTCTACATATATGCAGTGTAAACAACACAGCATTAGGCTGTGTTGTTTGGGGAATTTAAATACAGTACTTGCATGCAAACACACTTTTATAGTCTCGGAGGAAACAAATTGATCTAATGCATTGGTTCTTGGTCACTTTTGTAGAACTAAATGTCCAGCTGTACAGTATATTTTAGACTGTATTTTTTTTACAGCTACACAGTAGACTGGTGTGTGATCCTGTACCTTTCTCATACTACTAATGATGACTGTGTCTTCCCAGCTGTATGCAGGCGCGCCAAAACTCCCGACACCAACACAAATATGGCCAGTGTTTCACACCAGTGTCGGCCTGCTTCTTCCGCAAATACCTTCGACAAGTTTCATCAGCAATTTTCCTTATCAAAGTTAAAAAAAAAAATTTAAAAAAAAGGTTGTAGTTGTGTTAGATCTTGGGATAAGTTCACCGCCGCCTAACTACCATGTGTTTACAGCTTCATTGCATAGCTTACTACTTTGGGTAAGGGGAGATTTTTCTTATTACAAATATGTATCGCAGTTATTCGAAAGAATACGTCGACTTTGTCTCATTCGGTAATGCCTAGAACAGCTCCATAATCATCTGTTCGACGAAATGCTGGAAAATATTGTGAAAAGTCACACCTGTCACCGGCACGGTGGGTGACGGACACCCCCTTTTCGGATTGTCACTTGGACTGTTCCACCGAGCGGAAGTTTTCATACAACGATTTCCGGGTCGTTGTCACGGACGCTTTCTATCCCCCCACCCCCCGGAAATAACACCATCAACAACTGGATAACATGCAACACCTCTTGATTAACTTGCAAGTTTAACGATCGATAACAATGATTTGTTTCCAAATGAAGTGGAGACTTGTGGAAGCGCACGGCTGTATGCAAAAAAAAACATCCGTCTCTCGTCCGGTTTACGATCGCTGAGTGTGACAGTCTTTAAACTACATTTCATTATCGATTAAGATCATTTTCTTAGACAGATGTCAAAAAGAAGTTAAAACAAATGACGCTGGTCACTTCCCCCTACATGTAACAACACTGGGTGGAGAGAGGAATATAAAAGATCCTGAGAAAGGTAAGACAGCCTACATCAGCTTTACACTTCACCTATGATGGGTTTGTTTACATGCGTGCTAAGAGAATGTACCACATGATTCAGGATTCAGATGACCTATCAAAATCAACAAGTGCATTGCTGTTCTGGGAGTGATCTGCGTGAAGCTGCAGGACCGACTTTGTCCCCTTTCTGATCCACTCAGGTGAACAGCTCTGCGTTACTGTTTTCTTACATCTACGGGCACATTTTTATTATAACACAATCATATTCTAGAAAAGACTATATCATAATGATCAAAATATTATCGAGCCATAGTGAGGAAATGGACATTTTTAAACTTTTGAAAAACAGGAATTATGATTATACATTTTCTTTGTATCATGAAGTCATAAGTGAAAATCATTCCAAATACTTAAGACTATAATACTGTCAAAAACACTCACGGATATCTGATGTCCTGGAAATAATGAATAGATTAATAGCTAAGATATATATGGCCAACCAAACACCATTAAAAAAAAAACAAATAAGTCAATAGCTGGGCTCTCATTGATCTGTTGCTACACAGATCAGCAATTTGGTTTGCACTGAGGCCAGACAACAGGAATTAGTTACACAAATTCAAATCAAATGAGTTTAACTGCCTTTGTCCTGAAAGGTAGTTGATTCACAAGCTCCAGCTTCTCATATGTGGTGATGTTCTGCTGTTTTGTCATTGGTAATCACAAACCTTTGAATTTTAGCTATTTGGCTTGACAATAAAATCTTTAACTGAGTTTTTTTTTCTCTCAAGGGTCTAGTAAATTTGGATGGTACTTTGGGCTATCTGCCAACAATATTTATCACTTGAGTTTAATTAATAATGCAAAAAAAAAAAACTGAGGCTTGTTACCGTTTGAGCACCATGCATTTTTCCAGTGCACGTTTTATATTTACTTTTTCCCTGTCAGATTCTTTGTAACCTTATATAGATAGATAGATAAATGGATACTTAATTAATCCTTTGCAGGAAATTACACCTTAACAGCACTGCAATCACAGTCAAGACACAACATACAAACTGGACAAATAACAATCATAATAATAATAATACCATGTAACTTTATGTTTAAGAGGTTGTTGTGTAAGTTCTCCTGTAGTACGCACTTTAGTAGAGGAGTGTTTTGCTTTCCTGTATGATATCATTTGGGACGCATTGAGCTACAAAATATGAACTGCCTAATAATGTTGAATAATGTTAGTAGTTGCATTTGACTCATTGCCTTCACGCAGGATTAAAGTCATGAATTATGCTATTTCTCCCCTCAGTGTAGGCTAACCACGTAGGTATTTATTATGATGACGCCAGGTTCTTGCACAGTCATAAGTGTTTTTAAGGAAGATATTATCGCCTCACATTTCCCTGTGGTAAAGATAAAAAGTGGCCGATATATTATTTATCAAGAGTAAGGGCGTATTAAATTGAGCAGAATTGTCACTGTATCAAGTCTTATGAGGCTAAAGCCCATCACTACATAGACAAGACTCATTGTGCAGGAAAACAAAATCAGTCTTAACAGTGCATGTCAGCAGGAGTGCATGTTTTCACATTGAAGCCTTGCTCCCCCCTGGGCATGCATCAGATAGTTCTCAGCTGTGTTGTGATCTCAGAATATGCACCTATTTAATTTATTATGTTTCCTCCACAGCCGACTGTTAGGTACCCCTTTTAAAATAATGTTGACTTTAACTTGACATGCTCTAAGTGGCTTTAAAGCGGTGGCCTGGGGGACGCGCCGCTAAATATTTCAGGACAAACTCATTACTGTAAATGGGCCTGTGTGTTTGCCTGGCTGGGGTAGACAGGCAGCGGCAAGAGAGCGAGGACAGTGATGTTTGTGTAAGAGTGTGTGTGTGAGAGACTGTTCCTTCCCATGTTCTAATAGATGTGGAGTGGATGTCTCAGTGCCTGGCCCAGTTGTCCCTGTTGCAACACTGTGAAACACACAGGGGCTCCTCCAACATCTGCTTTGTAAAGAGCTAATGACAAGACAATGGAGACCAGATGATTTAAAGTCTAGTACTAATGAGGCCCTGTGTGCTGCTTGGAGAATCCTGACATATATACACACACACACACACTCACATGTAACACACTCGTGGTTAAGATAACAGATGATTTGTCGGCAGACCAGGAGGCAAACACCCAGAAGACATACAGTGTACACATTCAGACCTGCTGTCCATCTGCTTTGTCTGTCTTTCATACACATAAAGAGAGGCATAAACAGACACTATTTAAAACCGCTTGTCTGGCTCGGCCCATATAATTACAATATTGAGTTCCTAATCCATGGATTTAAAATCTTCTTCCCTTTTAGCAATGGCTGCCTTCTCGAACAGCGGCGTGGAGGGAGTATGATGATGAGGGGAAACAGTAAGAGAGAAGAAGAGAGGGAGAAATAATAAAGGACAAGCTTAACTGGTGAGGCTGTCAGTAGAGGAAAATAATATTTGTCCAGCTGGACAGGCCTCCCTTTGTGCAGGCTAAATGAAAGTTGAGCTTCCTGTCTGCCCTGTCAGGGAGAGTGGCACAGACTGTGTGCAGCGGCGAAGAAGCGGAGCGCAGTGCGGGGAGCTGTTTGGAGTTTGACAGGGATTATTAAAATCAGAGCAGATGACGAGGAAAAGGGGCGAGAGGCGGAGGAGTGTGAGAAAGCCAAATTGACACAGACACTCTCCATTACCTTCCACTTGACTCACGTTGATGACAATGTTGATATGAGACCCAGCAACGCAGCACCGGCGTGGGATTGGCTGTTAGCATGAGCGTTAAGCACCACAGGGTGGGGGGAGGGGGGGGGGCCCTCAGTTCTGGCAGGAGATGAGTTGTTTATTTAAAGCCTTGACTGAAGTGCACCTCACCTCATTGTTTATTTATTTGGTCTATTTTTTTTTCCTGTGTTAACTCACTGTAGTGTCAGGAGGTGGAAATGGTGAGAGGCTGAGGCAATGCATTTTGATCAGGGGATCTGAGGGAAGAAACTGCTTTTGTTGATGATAAGCTTCCTTATTTGCAGGTGTTCCTGGTGCAATTGATTTGTGTCCCCTAATAATACTCCTGTTTGAGGAAACTTCAAATTACTTCAGTCTGCATGACTGTGTGTGTGTGTGTGTGTGTGTGTGTGTGTGTGTGTGCGCGCGTGTGTGTGTGTGCGCGTGCGTGCGTGCGTGTGCGTGTGCGTGCGTGTGTGTGTGTGTGTTTGCGTGTGTGCGTGTGTGCGTGCGTGCGTGCGTGCGTGCGTGCGTGTGTGTGTAGGATGTGTAGGATGTGTTTAGTTTCTTGACAGACAGCTGTGATAATAAAAACCCTCCGGATCTCTATTATTTAATTGTTGATTTAATCCTAACACCAGTACTGTCTTTCTCATTACATTTTTTATAAACTGAAAGATGTCATGTGTAGTGTTTCTCATTTCATACAGTAAGGTCACCTATCTGTTTATTTTTCTCTAGAAACATGGAGTGGCCGGGGGGATTTCCCTGAAGACCATGCGTTTGTGGAGCTGCTGGTTCCAGGGGTTTCCAGTGCATCAGATTTTGAACAGCTACTTAAAGACACAGAGGAGAAACTAAATCTTAATGCCAACAGGTCAGTCAGAGTTATAAAAGCATTCATTTAAATGCCCTCTTGATCTTGTTTTTTTTTTTAACCTGAAATGGTAATAGTTATGCCATTTCTACTTTTATAATTTTCTTCCAATCTCCCCTAATCCCCCTTTCTTGCTTTTTTTTAAAACACCTTTAGTGTCTAAACTTTAGGATCTGAAAGCCAGATTGAAACTAAGCACTCCCCCAGCTGACAGAGGCATCCCAAATAAGAAGACACAGACGCGACAGTGAAGTTTTTAAAGCAGCCTCTTTTATGGGATTATTATCTGGCAGGGTCTCCCACTTCTTTCTTTGGATCTCGGGTTGAATGACAGAAAGTGGAGTGCGATACAATGCACAATTTAGTCTGAAAGGAAATCACAGGCACAATAAAATGAATGTTTAACAATTACCTCGACAAACATAATCAAAGCTCCCGCGTGTTTATTGTGATGGATTTTATTTCCTCACTTCTGCAGAACTTGTTCATTGTGGATAAAGAGTAAGGGGGAAAGGCGGCTTACAGTGAAGGTGTGTAGTCAGGCTCTGTTTTTTTTATGACACTTGCAAGGTTAATTTGAGATGGACTTGAAAAACACCAGTTAAATAGTTTACACTGGTATGCCATCTTATTTAAACGGTAGTATAATAAAATCCAATTCAAAGGCCAAAAGACTGAACCCATGATTTCTTAAAGGGATACTTCACCCGTTGAAACATGAATCTGTATTGACATTGGGTCATATATGTCGTAGAAATGTGAAATAAATGTTGAAGTTGGTGCCTTCTTGGCCAAGAAAAGGCAGAAAGTGTCTTTTTGGCTCATGTGGATGAAAGACACCAAATCCCAGAATGCACAGCACAGCAGGTCACTCCCACTAAGGTCCTCTAGTTCAGAATCAGAAATCCCGGCGGCTGTGCTCCCGGCGAGCAGCCGTCTCGCCGCTATATTTATATTTTTCCACCATTATCAGTTTTCTCCATAGAGCCTGTTAGCATAGATTCCAAGCAATATGACAGACGTTAAGTTTCGATTTTGGGAGTGAGTTCCCACCGACTGATCTGTGATTGGTCTGTAGCTTCAGTGGTCTAAAATATGAGGAACTAGCGTTGTAGTTTCACCCCACTAACCGCAACAGTTTCCAGTGACGCAAAAATTGTCATTTTGCGTCACTGGAAGCTGCTTTTCAGACTTAGAAATACAAAGATTTCCCATCTCAGGGGAAAATGAGGGCGAGATGCACGACCATTCAAAAATACTACCAGGTTTCTAATGATACAAAGCTTAATGCAAATGGGTGAAGTATCCCTTTCAGTGTGTTTCACTTTCTTTTTCTTCTAACTAACTCTCTTCCCTCTCGTGAAGGCATCTATTAATCCAGTCATATTTTTTAGTTTTTTAGAAATTCACAATGAAAACTGATGTCAAAAGTGAATAGTAAACACAGTTTGCTTAGAGGTGATGTGTTGTGAGCCTTAAGAAAAACCCTTACTGCCCGGAATGCAAAAATCTCAACTTTGAACCTGCGTTGAAGATTTAAATCAAATGTGAAGGAATTTCTTTCAATAGAGAATGAAAAGATGTTTCTGTTTAGCAGTAGTGAATGGATTTTAAAAAGAAAATCTTAATTATGAGAAGTTCCTCTTGGCCTTGTGTCTAACAAAGCCTTCATTTAAAATTCAGAAGGGCAACAGTGCAGAGGGATCAAAAAGACTAGTATCTGTGTTCTTGTACCCAAACGATAGTCAAACAATCTGATCATAAAAGACTGTAAAATAAGAGTCAGAAGGGAAGTTTTGGCAAAGAACAGTTTGTAAAGTTCTGACACATTTCACAATGCGTAGTGCAAGCTTTGACCTCCATGTACAAGTAGAAACACACAGATATGATACTCACTATACTGCAGGTTCATACACACTATGACTTCAACAAAGAAAATATTCAAGGCTTAGTTCAAACATATACGGTACTTTAGCAGTGTAGGAGACCTGCTGTATTATTAAGCCTGAATTCTCTTCATAATCTGGATTGCCAGGAGTGAATAAATGTAGGTACAAATGTATGTGCAGTATAAATATAAGGATATCAAACTGTTTTCTGTGCGAGTGCGCATTTTAGTTTTTATACCATCAAATGTGTGTGTTTGGATCCACTTAACATTGTTCTCACCTTTCACTCAAATGTTATCTTCTGGGATTACATTCTACTTCTCTTTCTTAGATTGTATTGAGAAAGGGCATGATCAAACTTGATCAAAAAAAAAATATATACAGTATCTACTTTAAAAAATATATATCTAACATTGGTTCTGACTTTGTTGTCAAGTGTTTGATTACATAAAAGGATGAATCTTTTTCATTTCTATTAATTTCTGGAATAATCTTATGTAACAGCTGAGATTAGATTTTGTGTCCTGAAGACTGAAATTTAGACATCTGTCATTGATGGCACACAGGGATAGTTGGAGAGCACAAACAAAGTGATGAAAAGAGAGACATCAGGGGGAGAAGAAAAAGAGAAATCTATATTTCAGGTCTTTTATCGTTTTTGGCGTTGTGAGGCTGAGGGCAGATGATGAAGGACAGACTAAATGTAGCAAGTGAACAAAGCCTCACTCTGGCACCATTAGTGTCTGACTGGGACTCATGTCTTCGACTCTCTCTCTCTCTCTCTCTCTCTCTCTCTCTCTCTCTCTCTCTCTCTGTCTTTCTCTCTCTCTTTCCTTCCTTCTTCTAAATGGGAACATAATAATTGAAGATTCCACATCTTGAAACGAAAACCCTTGGGTAGGTAATTCAAGGCTTATTACCGAAGGCCTGGCCATTTTTCTGCTTTCTAAGCATTAAAGGGTTATTTTGTGTTCCTGCAGATGGGAGAGGGATAACCATTATGAGAACAAAGCATCCAGATAATGGAGAATGGGGCTAAAAATAAGGCAATCCTCCTCTCGCCATGGGGGGGACCACTGGTCATTGTCTGTCAGGCTGCTTCCAACTTCCTCCCAGACTTCTTCAGGACAGGTATCCAGGCTGACAAAATCTAGCCAGGCCTCTCTTTTTTTGCCCCAACCAGGGCTCCAGATACATACAATAATCCCCCCCCCACCCCCCCCCCACACACACACACACACCCAAACACACACACAACCACAAGCAACTACAGCTTATTCACCTGCTGCCTAATTGACTTATCAGTGGGACAAATTACAGAAGTAGAGGAAAGGAAGGGAAGCCGAGAGATGGAGCCAGGACACAACCGTGAAAGACTTCAACCTGCTCCCAGTTCTCGGATGTCACATATCTGCCTAAGAGCTGCTTCCTAATTGCAGGAGATTAAGATAGGCTGACAACAGAGCCTGCTCCACCAAATTGAAATGCTGTAATCCATCAGTTTTCATCAGATGGGACAGGGGAGAGCGGTGCAGAGTTTGGGGGTCGGACCACCAGTAAAAGACCTCTAATGAAGTGTCAGCACAGGCCTGGAGACTGCACACTGGCCTCTGGTTTCATACTGGCAAGGCAAATGGCTTTACTATTGGCCTGCCAATCTTGATCAGGTTTAAATATCAGTAGTTTTGAATTTGATTCTGTATGTGTCAGGATTGTGCAGAATTTTACAATATCGTGCAAGGTTCCTTTTCAATGCACACAAATACTGATCTCTAGCCTTCGCAGCATGTAGTTGATTTTGTGTTTAGCTGTGCGTGACACGTGTGTTAAGTTAGTATATCAGCTGTATCTCTTCTCCGGTATCATTGGCCTGGCTTTGGGGGCTCAGGGCACTAAGTGCGCGACAGGCTTGGCCAGCACGGGATCTGTTTTCAGCCTGTTCATTCAAACCCATTCACTCCCTTTCCCCCTCGCAGAATGGGGCCCTTTGATGGAGGAGATATTTAGTTCTCAGGCGGCCGGTTTGGCACTGACTGGAGCTGAGGCTTGAAAGAGATCTTCATGCCTGCCCCCGATGCCTCCCCTCCCCACCTCCTGTAGGCACGCACAGAGAGCAGAGCGCGACAGACAGACAGCCCCACAGCAGCCCACCCACACTAAATTAATTCTGACAAGGAACTTAAGATAACGTCAAAGCGCTGACTAATCGCGGGATTGGGTTTCTGTAAGTCACAGAGCTGTGAAATGTGCCATCATATCTAATAAAAGACCTCCGGTTGTTCCCTTTCTCTCTCAGCGGTGGTGAAGGTTGTGGGGGGGTGGGGGGGGGGGGGCACCATTGCGGTGTCGACTGTCAAGCTAGGCCGGTCTGAAAAACAATTAGATTTCACTTTGGCACTGAAAGTGTAAGTGTGAGTGTATATGTGTTAGGGTAAGATGATTGACATGTTTGTCAAGAGGCCTAAAGAATGCTTTCCTCCTGGTTTCCTCTGCCTCTCTTCTCATTCTGCAGCTCTTTTGTTGAGTTCTGCTCCGGTGTTTTTGCCATTACAGGTTTGTCCATTGTCGTCTTTACTCCGAAACTGGAGTGGTTTTATTTTCCACGACTATTTCTGTTTTCTACGTGTTTTTTACCCTGCTCTTTTCTCATTCCCGCTCTGTCTCTTTGCTCAGTGTCTGAGCTGTTGGAGGGGGAAGTCATCATGTTCCGAGCTAATCCTGCCGAGTTGATTAGGCTGCAGGTAGCTTTTCCACTGGCAGGCCAAAGGTCGCAACATTGTAGAGAGCTGGATGGACTTCTTGACACAGACCATCCACATTGACTTTATAACTTACAGGAGAAGGCCCTAAGGAGAGGTAATTGAAAGGATCGAGTAAAGAAAATCAGGAAAGTACGAGTTTCAGGGAGAGAGAAGAGAGAGATTGGCGATAGAAAGAGAAAAAAAAAAAACTGTGGAGGAAAGGATGGAGAATGTACCTGAGGAGGCTTGTGCTGCTGCTGTAACCAAGAGAGGTCCCGGGAAGTTTAATCCAGCTTCTAACAGAAAATAAGCCATCAAGTTCATTTCCCAAATGTAGTCCACTTACATTTCCTGCTTTTAATAACCATCAGAGAGTCGGTGAAAAGTGAGCTACAGATGGAAGCCCATTCTAAACCTGCTGTCTGTGTGAAGTCCTGGGGTGGAGCCCAGAATGAACATCCATTTTTTATGACGTACCATAAACACACATGCTGCCATTTAATTTACAGAGATGTCATTGTAAAACATGTCATGTGACATAAACTAATTCGTCATTCCTTTTTACATTTCTTAACGTCACATTGATTCTAGTGAGAACTACAAACTCCAAACAAAAATAAACAAAATGATTTGTAGAGCCCCTTTAACACACACACTGCAAACTGTCCCACATGTTTGGGGGTCGGGTGTGTTACAAATATAAAGTAAATGGTTTGAACCATAAGGACATTATTCACCCTGACCCTATCCGGACCGTTGATGACAAGCCTCCTAGTAAGATTTCTGCACAAAGTCAGGATGAGCGGATGTGTAAACACAGAAGGTGATATTCAAGTGAGTGTGCAGGTATGATGACGTTTACATCCTGAGACCACTGCGAGGCAGGCTCAGTCTTCATGCATGAAGTAATGTGTGTATGAAGCAGTAATGAAGCTGCTTCATACATTTTTCCTGTTTGCCAGCATCTTCTTTTTTCACTAAATTACAAATATGTCCAATGTGTAGAAGGACAACTCTGGGAAATGTCCTGTTCTAGAAATGTTCAGTAGTGCATGTGGGAAAGAGGCTCACGTTACCATGGATTGGTCAAAGATAACACAAAGAAATAAACAGTTTTGTGTTGTTAAAAGTTGTCTTTTCTTTTTACGCCCTACACCCTCAGCCAACTCTCAGCCATGCCGTTTATGTTTTTGACCTTGCCGAAGCTTGTGTTTTACATCTTAGAAGCTTTGGGCGAGCACAGTTAAGGGATTCTGCACCCACACAATCTGTCAAACGTTGGGGCAATTTCTTTCAAATAAAATAATCAATTAAGCAGTGCAGAAAAACAGGCAGACACATACACGAAGGCACACACACAGGGTAAGGTAAGAAAACAAATGTTAAATACCTTTTTTAATGGTAGTTTGGTAGTTTTGCAATTGCTTTACAATCAAGGTTTCAATCAGTCAGCAAGTTGGTGTCAAGAGACTAAAAGTGACATTATCTTAGAGAGAGAGAGAGAGAGAGACAGAGAGAATGATAGTGTTGAACCTAGAGGATAACGGTTTTGTAACAGTCTATAACATTTTATCCCCCTGCGTTTTCCCCTCTGAAAGCAAAGTGTGTCAGATTGAACGGTTATTTAATGTGTTGCCATTGTGAGACATCTGGATGCGTTCATGGCCCAGGAGCAGGCAGGAGGTGGTTTATAGACCTGCAGTACGGGATGAGCTGTCTGATGGGGAAATGACACATTGGCCCTGTATCATGAATACAGACACATATACAAGAATGTATAGGTCTGCAGCAAATCAAGTTTGTTATTGGTATTTTATTTACATATTTAGTTAAATGTGAAGATAAGAAATATTTCGTTATGTTTCCTGTATGTTTTACCACAGACACGTTCAGACAAAGAACATGTGAACACAATCACAGTATTCACAAAACCATAACATGTTTAATTAAGCGGGTATGTAGCCCCTTTTCACACAAACACACACACACACCCACACACACTTACACACTGCCTTACACGGCCAAATATATATGCATTGATTTGCATGGAAATGACTAAACATGTCGAGCTCAAAGATGTCATTTCTAATCCGTCATATTAAAGGGGAAGCGGAATAGCTGATGCAGCCTGTTAAAATCAAAAGAGCTGTGTGTGTGCGTGCGTGCGTGCATGTTTGTGTGTCGGTGTGTGCGTGTGTGTGTGTCAAGGGGAAGAGTAAGACGTGAGCAGCAAGTAGTGTGTGTCTCAGATGCCTGCCGTTGCCTGTAACACCACTTCACGCCAAATGCTTAGCACACACTCACACACACTGATACATTGATGTCTGTGTTCATTACTGTTGATGCTTCTGTGTCTGTCATCTCATGGTGCGGACACTGAATCAGTGAAGGAGAGTTAAGCGTGATGGAGTGTGTAGGTCCATGTGTATCTTCAGCATGGTGTCTATGGGGTCCATGTGTTTGGATGACTGCGTGTTAGTCTTGTGTTGCTGCAGCAGTGTTTATAGTTGGGTTCGATAGAATTTATTGGGTTTGTATAATCTCTTGAGAGTCTCCTTTCAAATTGGAGACACTGTCGGGACAGTCAAAACACTTTTTTTCAATCACAGCTGGGTTAAAAAGTTGTTTAGATTAATGGGAACAACTGAATGCTGGAAAACATGGCATATAGGAGAATATAAGATGGGCCAGATCTCATCCACAGCAGTCATATGGTCAAAGCTGCCTTTTTCTAGCTTGAAACTCTGAGAAGCTGAGACAAAATTAGGTTCAACATTTTACTTTTTTTTTGTGTTTTTATACCTTCCTGTTTTCCAAAACTTTGGTATTTTTCACACAATTTCTACTATTACAAAAATGTGGCATTGTGCTTTTCTCTGGTACCCTGTCCTTGAAATGGATACTCGTTCAGAGTGTTTAGCTCTCACAACTAACACAATGTTTCTTTCTTTGTCTTAGCATTGAACAGCAGCTAAAGGAGCTCCAGGCCAAAATGGGAGACTCCCGGATAGGCGAGCGTCCACCGAGCCCGACAGAGTGCCTGCAGTGGCTAAACCTCAGAGCGCATAACAATCTAAGGCCCGTTTCCACAGGACATCAAGAGCTCATGGACTTCTTCAAAGCTTTGGTAATACATCGGGGCAGCTTGACACTGACTGATGATGATAATGTTAAGAATAACATTACTTTCTTATTTCACTGATAACAAAGCTAGACCGCTAACTGTGATAATGCTGATGAGGAAGATTGTATAAATATGCTTTGATACTACCAAGTATCCTTAATGATCCAATGAATTGAAATAAAATTACATTACATTATTAACACTTAGCTATCTATGCATGAGCTGTTAAAAAAACACCTCTAGATTTAAGGAGGTAGCTCTTCTCATACTTAATGGATTGGTCTGCAAATATTATCATAACTTTTATATCAGGAAAATCCATATTCTGACCTTTCAGGTCAGCTCTGCAGTATTGTGATGTGTCTAATGAAAGGCCATTTTGTCCTGCAGTCTTCACAGCTGCTAACCTCAGATAGTTTTCTTCTTTCTACAGTAATATTGAGATCACTGTTCTCCCTCTGTTCCACTCAGCAACAGTACCTGAGGTCTGACGAGGAGGGCAAAGAGGAGGTGGCCCTTCAATTCTTGCTGAATCTGTCCTCCCAGTGTGGTGTCTGCTTTCCTTGTGCCCCTTCAACCTTCTCCACCTCATCCTCCGTTCATCCTCAACTGAATACCTCCTCAGTCAACTTGGTACATACAGTCAGAGATGATGTCTCATTAGAGGTAATCTATGTAGTTTTTAAATCAGTGTCTTTTCTTGAGCAATGTCAACTTAAGCAATATTATTATGAGCCAGCATATTAGCTTCACCTGAACTTTGGAATTTAAAACATGCACTAAAGGAATTTTGTCCATTGTCAATTCAATTGTAATAGATTTAGAAAAGGGTTTTCATTTGGCCATTATGGACAGAATAAAACTAAAACAACCTATTGGGCCTAACATATATGTATAGGCACGGAAATATCGTTTAACGGACAATCTGAACCTTGAATCAAAATATTGACACACTTACTTGTCTAGGCTTTATTACACCAGTATGATGTCAATTTTCATGCCAAAAGATGACTATTAAGATACCCTCTGATTGACTGTTATGGATTATCAGTGTATTTTTTGCAATTTACCTTCCATTGTGTTGTTTCTTTAAGTATCAGGAGGCATGGGATGATGTGCGTATCCAACTGCGCCGCCACCTGCTGGACCGGCTGTCTTCTCGCAGCCCAGAACATCCACACAAACATATCTCCACTCTGTCCATCATTGAGCGGGTCCATTGTCTGCAGCAGCTGTTCTTTCTTTACCCTGAGTCAGAGGTGCTTTCACATTACCAGGTGTGGTATGCTAGTGTTAATGCATTAATGAAACACTCCTGATAAATATTCCACAATATCAATAACTGATATTTAAACGTACAAGGGATATCCGGACTACAGCTAAGTGTGATTTGGTTGTTTTATTGAAACGCTGTACAAATATGACACAGTAGTAAATTTATGATTTTACAGAGCTATATTTTGATTTTATTATCCAGGGTTTGAGAAGCCAATCTGTGATGGTTCTTCTACTCTCTGCTCTGACCTCGAGCCCCGGTGGTGAGACTGGTTTTGACAGACTGGCTGTTGGCTTTCGTTCTGCGGTCCCAGCTCTGACCCAGGCCTTGACAGAGGAGCTCCATGTCCTTTCAAGACTTGCAGAACCGCACTCCATCCTGGGTTTTATAAATGCAGCCTACCTCAGCACTGTGGCTCAAGAACTGGCTTCCTTGATGGAGAGAGAATGTGAAACGGCCCTGAGGGACAACACCACGCTCGGCAGCAAGATCAAGAAATATTCAGCAAGATCTCGGGCGACTGTAGGTAAGTGGGTTTGTCTAAATTTTTTTCTAATCAAATGGTAATTTTACATGTTCTGCTCATTTTGTTTTCTTCCCGCTCTCCTTGTGTGTCGATATTTGTATTTGTCTTTATTCAGATGGCAATTACAGCTTTTTTCTCTGAATCTAAACGTCAGTCCTCTCCTCCTGCTCCCTACTGTTACCCAATAAAGGCTTACAATTTTCTCTCACCATTTTTACTTTTCTGTTACTTTTCAGTTGCGGTGTGTAGTGATCTGTGCCAGAGCCAAGGCCTCTGTAAGAGATTGTCAGTAACTGCTGTTCCCATTGTAATTGCTTTCTTTTTACTGCCCTCTTTCCTGTCTGCCTCAATTTCCTCCTTACCAACAAAAAGACAAAAGCAGCACTTCCAGGGCCAAGGCTCCTTTAGAAGCTACCTCTAAACACTATTTACCACATAGTTTATCTATGACTGTGACGAGTCCTGGTCCAAGGAAATGTCTGTGCCAAATCCAAGGTCTGTCGACTGTGTGTGTAAGCCACTGTTCATTCACTCCTACACCTTGAACCTATGGCAATGAGCACTGTGCCACATGGGAGAATAGTTGGAACTGCATGCTGTTGTCTCAATGCAAGTTCCTCTCAAATGAAAACTAAACTAAACCAAACAAAGTTTAGTAAAGATGACAAGGCTAGACACCTTGACCCGTTCTCATGCTCTTATAGTGGGAAAAGGGAAATTGATTTGTCTTAACCTTCTTAGTGTAATAGAACGATACAGCCACATTGAAAGAACTCTCCAGAAAGGGTTTGAGCATGGTTCAACATTCTGTCGACCTTGTTTCATAGCGAAATGGATCTTTGACAGAAAAAGGAATTTGAAGAGGTACTTTTAATATTTGCCAAAAAGCAGAATGTGTCGCTGTGATGTTGTTTACTCTGACAAGAGAAGAGCGCGGACCTTCACGCGCTGTGTCACTTTCGATTCTTAATTCCCAACATATTCTCTTTGTTTGTTTCATATTGGCCTATTTACAGCTTGCTGGGGGTAAAGATTCACAAAAAAAAAATTTAAAGGATGTGAGCCATTGTTTACTTTTTCAAAAATGGTGCACATGTCAGCTTCCCTGCGGATCGGGGAGAGGAGTGCTTTTACATCTGCCATTCTTCGATAAACACACCACCAGCCTCACGTCTTTTGCACCCGCTCTCCCTCCCTCAATCTCTCTCTTCCCATCTCCCTCTCTGGTTTTTACTTTCCCTCTCCTTAAATGTGAGATGAGAGGAGGCAGCCAGGATAATTGGCCATGCGTCAGTTGGGCTGTTTGATCACGTAACGCGGCGGAGGCTACACACCTACGTGCCGCTCAACAAACCGTCAAATGTAGCACCGGAGGCAGAACACGGCTCCAAAGGGAGCGGGGGACCCGTGCTGTGTAATGATGGTAAAATGGAGCAGTTTTGCCTGTGCTTGCTTTAAGTGTGTGAGTATGTGTGTGTTTGACTATCAGCTGCAACACAGCTTTGAGGGATACAACTGGGAATACATTTTTTTGTTGTTCGTGTTTTAAGTCCCCCCCCCCCCAAAAAAAAGCCGAATATCCACCACCTAAACACCCGGGGCTCCTTAAGAGCCAAGGATTGAACATTAATGCGTAATCTGCTTTCACACTTAACTGTCTATACTGTATGCTACGCCCATAATTGTCAAGACAATAATGACAATGGTAAAAAAAGAAAGAAAATTATTCTATTTTCATAAGCACCCAATGACTTGGATCTCTTCCTCCTTCCCCGCTGTGTTATTGTTTATTTCTGCAGCAGGGCAGGCGGTAGGTATATTTTGATAAGAGCCATGCCTGGGAGACTGTGCGGGCTCCCAGGGGAGACGTGCTGTCTGTAGCATCAGCCACTGTCAAACCACTGAACCATTTAACAGTGTTCACAGCGAGATCTCCCTCCTCTTTTAACCCCACCGACTCAAAGGCAGGCTCTGACATTGTACTGAGACAGATGTGAAGGGTCTCAGCCATCTTTTTTCTCCCTCCCCCTTTCCCTTTTTTCCCCTTTTCTCTCCGACGGCACTTCCTCTCGCTTTTTTTTTCTCTCTTGTCTTTTTCCATTTTCCTGCAGTTTTCCAAGTGTAATGGGGTGAGCAGTGAGACTGGGAAATGTGCTAGACAGGTTGGCTGGTCAGGAACAATACAGGCTTTAAACCTCACTAACACACCTGACTGAGTCTGCGGGGGAGCGGGCGGGCATGTCTGCATGTGTGTGTGTGTCACTGTATATGAGTGTGTTTCTTTTTCCAAAATGACATTAATAATGAAATTAACTTTTTCATATACAGCAGTTACAGTTTCAGTGATTTTGAGGAAATGTCAAATATTTTAAACTTCTTTGTTATTCAAAATTGAAGCTACATTAGATTAAACATATTAAGGAAAACAGCATATTTTTCTCTCAACAATCAAGCTAGATGCTTTTATTCTCTTTTTTTTATTCTATTTTAAACATAAGTGACCTGAATTTGCATAAGCTTTGGATGATGTTAGAATGATTTCATGCTTTGAGAAGCCCCTGACACCGAAGAAGAAACAAAAACAGAGAGCTATGTTCTGTATAGTGCAGTTGCACATTTTTCTTAATCTTATATTTAGCCTGGATTGAATCTGATTCTTTGTTGCTGTGTACGTATAATTGGTTACGATATGTATGGTACGTGTTCTCAATCACCTTTGAGTATGTATCATGTGAACATATCTGCCCAGCTGTTTTTGAGCACATGTAAGTGTGTCTGTGCACACTAATTTCTGGCTAACTTACAAAAATTGTGTGATCAAGAATCATTTAATACCCTTTTAAAAATGCATCATTACATTTCCATATGGTATTGGTGATTTTCAAACGTATGCATGCATAAGCAATCCATGTTTTTATAGAACATCAAAAGCCTTCGTTCCGAGTCCTCTGCATACACACATACAATCTATTCCCTAACAATCGACCACAGGGGTGAAGAAGAGGTTGTGAAATTCTGTTCAAACACTCTGCAACCCCATTCTGATAGCACCGATTTGAATACCACTTCCACTAATTTCCCCATATGATGATGTCTGCAGCTCCCTTTAGATAAAAAAGAATTGAATTAGAATATGTATAACAAGCATATTCACCCCCAATGCTTCCCCCTCTCCTCACCCTTTCTAGCTCTTTGAACTCTTTCTTAGAAAAAACACTTTTCAGCAGGGGATAGAGGTTCTGTAGTGACGCAAGATAGCTCAGCTGAGACGCTGAAGGTGCTTGTGGGGATTGATGCTACTTTGGAATAGCGTTTGTTACTATTTATTAAGAGCAGCTCCTCACCAGATCATATCTCAGTCTGACTTTATACACATTGACAGAAAGGGGTGTGCACACGCATGCTGTTGTGTTATTATGTTTTAAGTATTTTTGAATGATTCTTCTGTTATAAGGATGTTGCTTCTTTATGTTACTGTCTCTCAGTCCTTGTAGAGGATTAACAGACCCGGTTTCAGGAAGACACAACACAAATGTTTTGTTTTTTTTTAAACTAATTTTAATGAGACTTGATTATTAACTATGTGGGTGTGTAAGTGTCTGCATACATTTTCTCTAAATCATGGTTCCAGTGAAATATGGCCCTTGAGAATGTGTATTATGCTTGCCATTTATTTTTTCCCGCATTGTCACAATAGCCTTTGTGTGCCACTCTTGAACAACTCAAGGATATGAACATTTTCCTGGTACCTTCAAATGAGAAAGTGCAAACAAACATGGCTGGTTTATTGAGAGCAGCCAGCACTTTGTGATGAAGACTCAGCTTGATTCGCTGAGGGCCTGTGAACATTAACGTGAACAGGGGCACTAGGCACGAGTGGGTTTTAATGAAATGTTTCCATCAAGACAATACATTCCTCAATGTTTTTCATACTGACTGCTTGGTTCAAGTACATCGAGGAAGCCAGATATATCTTGGCCCCCGATCTCACAGTCATGACAATATTCACCACAAAGAAAGTAGACACAAAAACTGACACTGAGGAGAACAGAAAAACAAAGTTTATTGGCGTCTATGCCTCCGCTAAAACACCATCGCCACAGAAAGGCCTTATTTCCGAAGGCAAGTTAATTGAGATATCAAGTATTACTACTTTCCCCTTCTGTGAAGGGCAGGTGGCCCCTGATGTGGCCTGGTTGGACAGCACCCAGGAAAAGGGCCACAAGAGACTAAAGCTTGTGTCATTTGAGTGTATGTATGTGTGCGTGCATGTGTCAGGGTGAATCACTGCAGGAGGCTTCCCATAATAACGCTGTCTGAGTGAGCAGTGGGCCGCAACAGAAGCGGAGGACCCCAGCTGTCACATGGCCTAGCAGGAGGTCTACAGGGGTTCGTAGCCTCTCCACTTACACACAAATACATGCATAGACCTAGCCAAAGGCACACGCACAACCCGGCATGACACCCTATGAGTACAGTAGAAGGCACAGGTACACAGAGAACATGGACGCAAGAAAAAAGAATTGAGATAAGAATGAACCAGCACATACACAGGCTTGGTTTAGTCATTATTGATATGTCCACCTCTGCGTATGTTGGTTAACATCTGTTTCAACAAAGCACAACACAGGTTATAAAGAAAATCACAGAGTGACCACTGAAGGAGAGTTTTGATGTTTACTGTTTATTTGTTGTTATGTTGTTGTTATATGGTGAGTCCATAACATTAACATTTGTGTTTCTGTAAGATGAGCAGAAACATAAAAGAAAAAAAAACAATACTTTACCCTGTGGTGTTCCACAAGGGTCAGTTCTTGGTCCCCATCAATGTCTATATGCTTCTGGGAAAATGGTCATAACACCTATAGAAGAATACCTTCAACAAGAGATTGTTCTGTATATTTCCATTGCACTGTCTTTGGGTAGTCAGCTTTCTCTGTGAAAGCCACAACTCAGTGAAACCCCCATGCCTTAAGACATTAAAACGTGCTGTTCTATCAGCAGCTTTAAAAAACAAACTGAATTTTACATCTTGGCTTTGAATTTAAAAAATATATTTTACGGATCTGTGCTACAGTGATATATGTGCAATAGTCTAGTTTGTCTTTGATGTTTTATACCTATGTAAATTTTAATAAATTACCTGCCAAGGGAATGCAGCTGTAAATTAACTTTAAGATGAGTCTAGTACAATGTGTAGAATAGCAACATTGATGTTAAATATTGTAAATAGTCAAAATTCAAGTCTCTTTATGTCTTGATGAGTACTTCTATGAAAGATGAAGCACAAAGCTTGTTAAGTTGCCTCAAGTGACTTTACTTGACTTTTTCTGAACTACTAGTTTGAAAAAAAGAGAGGGGGGGGGCTGCTAGTTTTGAGTTGGAAGGAAAGGAGTTGATTACTAGACCTCTGTAACACAGCCCCTTATCCACAATATGTGTAGGGATAGAGCAAGGTTTGACAAGGAGGAAGAATGCATTTGATCCACTGCTTTAATATGAATGCTTTAAAAGCCAATCATGAGTATGCCAATGTTATGGAGGGGTTAACATATGATGATATCCTATACAAGATAGGTTTTGTTTATGATGACTATCAACCTGCAGTGTCAGGAAATAACCAATAAATGTAAAAATGTGCAAACATGGGCTTTATGTAAATATAGCCAAAGCAGAAAGAGCTCTATCATGGAAAGTGACCATGTCACATGTCATCCCCTGTTTTTTAAAGTAGAGCACCTGGCTAAAAATGTTGATGTTTCTCAGGATTTTCTAACCAGTTTCTTGTCATCTTAAACGTGTAATGAAAAGCCTTATGTCCAGACGGGAAATAACACCGGTTTTTCCCGGTAAGATTATTGTCTCTTGCCAGGTAGGTTAGCCTACTAATAAAGTACCCATATTGTGTTAATAAAAACCGATATACAACATAACTTTGTTGTATTTGAAAAAAATTATTTTCAAAACTGTCTGATTCCGCATTTTATTCAATATGTAAAGCAGTATACATTTCCATTGTTTAATACATGTTCTAAAATTGCCTTGCCTTATCTTTCTGGATATAATGAAGAAAATGCTTACATCACACACATCTACACAAACAGAGAAAGCTCTTCGCATATTGTGATCACATGATAAGAGACTGGAGGCCTGTGGTAAGAGAGAGTCAGACCACCCCTCCTGATGGTCTGATTTACACTACAGAGAGACAGAATGAGAGAATGGGGGAGAGAGGATGAGAGAGAGAGAGAGAGAGAGAGAGAGAGTGCGAGATGCTGTGCCAGAGAGAAATTAAATCAGTGGCTAAATTATTGCATGATTGCCCATTCCCCAAAGACTTGGGCATCATTTGGTATAAAGTGTCTAATAATTGGTTTTCGGCCATGTCAGACACATGCAATTCCCCCTACTAATGGCTCTGTTTGGAAGAACTGGGCCTCTTGGGTCAGAGAAGGACAGAAAATAGCCAGACGGCAAAAAGCACCCTACGCCCTTCCTCTTTTTTTTCCCTCCCTCATATAAACAAGGGAAGAAGAGAGAAAGAGCGACACAGAGAAGAGAGGAGATGGCGAGAAAGAGTGTGTGTATGTGAGCGAAGAGGAAATGAAGTGGCAATAAGTGCAGCCAAAGGGGAAATGCTCTTCACCGTGAGTTTAATACATCAGACTGGGGATTTGGCAGCCCGCCACACAGCAATTGTTTACCTTTTTGCTCACTGGCTGCATCTGTTCTGTTTTGTAAACGGCACTAAACTATTCGCCCGTAAACACCGGAATCAATAACAACTGCTAAGGGAATTCCCTTATCCCGCCCCTCCCTCTCTTCACCATGTTTTCATTCCTATCCCCAACCCTTTTCCTTCCACTAGATCTCCTCCTCCTCCCTCTCTCTCACACTCTCTCTCTCTCTCTATGTTCCTGCCAGTCAAGAGCAATGTGTGTGTATTAGAAGGAGTGTGAGCTGTGGAGCTGATGGTGGAACCCACAGGAGAGACAGACAACGAGAAGACTGATGGCTCGCCAAAAATACCTGCTCTGTTTTTTTGTTGTTTTCTTTTTGTCTCACATTGTTGTCATTGTTAAAAGCTACAAACTGAAACTGGCCACTGTAGACTTGGAGAGTTAGATATTTCCAGACATTCTTTTTTACACTGTTCCATATAAAATGTAAACCATCCTCCACACACATCCTGTTACATTTTTCACACATTTAGTTCAATGTCAAATTCCTCAACATGCTTGTTTTCTTTGAGGTCTTTTGATAAGATACACACTGCTTTTATGGTTATCACAATAATAAGGCCAACCATTGATTTTTCCTTTGTTAATAAGAACATCCTCGGCACTATGTTGTCATAATGGATCTCTTATATAAACATATCATTTTGCTTTCAGCACCAGTCCTCCTTTATTGATTCTCAGTACATTGACCTTTGGTTGAACTCTTCTGCCTGTTACTGCCCTTCCACATTTGACTCTATGAGACATGCCATGCACTATGCTATATGACACACCTGGGTGCTTTTAAGCACACCCTCTCCATCAACCGGCTATGAGAGCCTCCATTTGGCCTCACTGTTGTGACAAAGGTATAATGAGGTTTAGATGGCTGTGTACTACACTGCTATAGCTATAAGGCTATTTGGCTAGGGAGACGACCATAAATACCTATATAGCCTGGGCGGCAGAGCTCAATGAGAGGTGGAGGCAGAGCATTGCAAAACATCAAGGTCATATTCAGCTATAGGAGTGTTACTTGGTGAGCAAGTGAAGCAGTTATGGGGTCACATGATGGAATGAATGGTTAGGAATAAGAGGGACAAAGATGGTGCTGTGGAATAGTTGATGCTCTAGATGAAGTTAATGTGTGCTGTGCTCAGATGAATGCCTAACAGAAGGTGAGATGTTGGGTTGTGTTTGAAGTGAAAGCTCTTTAGAGAATCCAGCTACTGTTTCTCTAATGTGTCCCTGTCTTGTTTGGTTGAGATTGTTTACTCTTGAGTTTTGACAGCTTTAGTTTGCCCCAGTGTTAAGGCAAAAAAACAGTTGATTTGCTGGTGACTTCTGTAAAAGACAAGATTGTTGGTGCGTGTGTGAATGTGCAAGCTGGAGAACAAGGCTGACACATGGGTGTCAGCCAGGTCACTCATGTACACATGCAGTATGAGCATGTCTCTCCCACTGGACCCCATTACAGGGGAGCTGTGGACCCATGCAGCTTAATTACACTTACACATTAATGCATCCACGCACAGACAAATACACACCAAATAATCACACAGCTATTCACACGTGATGTTGCACACTCATGCACACTCTCTTGCATGCACTCTTGCACATAAATGCATGTATACACTTAGACTTGCAAACTTGAGGTCAAAACTTATTCGGTGGTGAACACATAGTGTGCTGCAATGTGGCAATTATCCTGCAAGACTGACATGTGCAAATGTGTGGAGAAGTGTCTTCTGCAAATCAAGTTTTTCACAATGACCTGTATTATGTGCACATAAACACACTTTTGCATACGCAACACAAGCACACAACTATTCATCGACTCTTACTCAAAATACAAGCTCACAAGAACATGCATATTTGCCAACACACACTCAGAGTCACACCTCATGCATGATTAAACCAGGCCTCCTCAGGGACACTGTGTTGTCATATTGTCAGATTTTGTTTAACAATATAGCAAAATTACATTAGGATCCAGCGGCAATAATGTTACAATTATTGGAAAATGCCCCCCCTCTTTTTCCTCTCTTCTCAGTGCTCAATCATCTCCGCGCTTTCAGAGTCAAGGCTAATACTGAGCTCATCCAGTCCCAAATGCCTTTGCAGTGGAGGAGCTCATTTAAGCGGACACACAAAAGTATGTGTGCATGTGTCTGGGAGTATGGCAACGCATCTCCCAGCCGCCTATTCTCCGGCTTAATGCGGAACATCCCCCGGGTGATGGCTTTGGCAGCCTCCAAAATGGGAAATCCATATTTGCCGAGGGGGTCATCGACGGGTTAGGGGGAGAAAAGTTTTGTGCCAAGAGAGAAGATGTGCATGTGTGACTTCTCAGGGAGCAAAGTTTTGCATATTTTCGTCTCTTTGTTTATGCGGTGTATTGGGAAAACATGAATGGGTCGATATTTATAAGAGGTGCCGTGCAAGAAAAGACTTGTAGAGGGGGTGTTTTCTGATGAGTGCTTGTAGGCCTGGAAGTTGGGTTGAAAACTTATTTTCCTGAAATTGTTTATTCCTCTCCTGAACTGTAAACTTTAGTGTGGTTCTCATTCCTCTGTCTTTCTGTAAATCATACATTGAACATAGACATATGTACTGTTTATTTTCCTTTCTCGTCTTACATTTTTCAATCACATATTTTTCTCTCATTCTCAGCGCCAATGGAGCTTCCCATGAAAAATAGAAGCTTCAGTTTGACCTCCCACCAGCTGAGGGCGTTAAACCAGCTGGCCTGCACACTGCTGGGGTTTGAGAGGACTGTGAAGGAGCAGGTCACTAATATGACCTTCATTGACTGTACAGGAGAGACTCCTTGTGTAAAAGGTACAACTCTGTTTCCCCAAGACATGATACTTTATCTTAGAATTTAGAAAGTCCAAGCAACCTAGGATGCACTTTGCATTATCTAACTAGAAAAGTATACATTCCAGATGCTTTAGAGACTTACGTTTTTGAGTAGATAATGTAATACAAAAACATAATTTGTTAGCAAAAATAATTTTCCCCAAAAATATTTATTCATTTATGTGGGGAGAAGGCTCTGAAGCAGCATTGAGATCAAGTAGGAAGTAAGAATTAAGTAAAAATGATCAATCAAAAAACTATTTTCTGTGAGTGGGGATGGGTGGGGGACTCATTACAACAGTATTTTCTCTGGCTATACAGCCCTGCAGTTACAACCCCTGAAACACAACACATACACATGCATCCACTGGTATGTGTTCTAGTGGGACTTCTGTGTTGCGTCTGTGGAAAGGAACTATCTTGGGTGTTATATAAGCCTTTGGTATCTTTTTCCTCTCCCCTTTGAACTGCTGTTGCAGAGATGTTAAATGGAAGCTTTTGGTGCATGGAGTAATTTCCATAAAGGTTACATTTACAAAAACAAGACTTGCAGAAAGGCTCAATTTACAGAGAGGTAAACAGCCTTTAAAGGGCAGTTATCCAAATCATTAATTCCAGGCAATCAAACGGCTTAATTACCAGAAATTCATCAGATGGGCTTAAAGGTCAAAAAGTGATGCGCTTGCTGCTTCCTCCTTCTTCCATTCCACCCGGTCTTGTTCGGCTAAATTGCCTCGCCTGGGGTCTCACTCTTCGCCTTCTGATTAGGAAAATGTGGCCTTGATGTTCACGCTTTTTAATTGCAACCCAATCCAACATCCTGTATGCTTGTCTCCAAGTAACTCCCCCTACGCTCCCCCGTCTCCCCCTAACATCAACGCAATTTCCCCTCATGGAATAACCCCATATGTGGCTGATACAATCTTGGTTCAAATCAAACGTAAGCCCCAAATTTAGACTCGTAAAGCCAACGCCGTTAGCATTTACTGCCTTTTTTTCTTATTCCTCTGAGTCATTTACAGTGATACTGCGGTCAATCTGGTTCATTTTTTTTTGGCGAGTGGGGTGAGAATGGGAGCTACAGTATATGAGGTATATACAGCTCTTTTCACGTCACTGTGCTTGGCTTATGTCCCACTTTAACACATTATACGGTGCAGTACATAACGTGATGTGGAAATATTCATACTAAATAATGCATAGGATAGAGGGTGGGCAACTGGCGGCCCGGGGCCCACACGCGGCCCCCATCAACCCTCAACGCGGCTCTCACGTCAATTTTTTACATATGAATTAATTGGAAACATGAAGAAAACATGACAAAATCTGCCATGAAAACCAGAAATATGTCCATAATAATATTTGATCACTGGTATATGTTGAGTTAAATTTGAGACATAATTGATTGTAATCATTTTTGTATCCTACAATTTGGCCCCCTGGCAGTGAGAATTAAATGAACGTGGCCCTTGCTGTGACCAAAGTTGCCTATCCCTGGGATAGATGCTAGGCAAACCCAACAAAGCGTTTTATTGTTTAAATGGTCAGTCTCATGTGTTAATGTATCATTTTTGGTCACTGCTGAAATGTCAATGACATGTTTTAAGAGCTTGACCATATCTTTTTATATGTATAAAATGATGTGTGTAAGTTGTAATTTGTTAATTGTTTTTCTGTTAGGTATTTTGAAAAAGAGAAATGATTCAGACATGACAACAGATGGGAGGAAATGCACGGCAGAAACTCTTCCTCACACACCAGAGGTAAGACTTTTGAATGTTTTTCTTCATAAACCCTGTGAATTACACTAATTCTATTTTAATGTCATTCAGACTTATGATCTTTGCTTCTATAATAACATAATAGCAAGAAAGTTTGTGAGTGCAACATTTGAACAGGTGAGTCATTCCTCACAGTTTCAGACATTAATTGGCTGTTGTCCCTTCTCCTACTTTGCAGGCGCAGGCGCAAGCGTTGGAGTTTGAGTGGAGGTCAGCTTTCCGGGGGCTGGTCCCACACATGGCACATTGCGTTAAAGTAGTGCTGGATGATGTTTGTGCCAAGAGTCTGCAGCAGGAGGAGGCTTTATTTTCTTCAGGACACACCTCCATCATCCTGAGCCGCATTGGTGGAGACACCACGCTCAGTGAGAGCAACACACCTCTAAGAGAAGATTCCTTCTACACCTACTCAGAGAGAGAGACTCCACAAGTGATAGCAAAGGTAATCCCAGAATTAGAATGGGATTGACTGATAACTGTTTGTCATTATTAGTGACCTGAGGTTCAATTCTAACAGTGAAATGGTATCATTGATTTACCACATGATAATCAATCTTATGAATGCCCTGTCCTGTTTTTATAGTGTATTTATTCATTGCTGGATAGTTAATTAGCATGCATGCATTTCCAATCTTCACTCACTGGTTTGAGGCCACAGATAGCAGAGAAAGCCCAGGGATGCTTTACTATCAAAATGCTTTACTCTGTAAACAGCAATGTAAATTCTCTTCAGGTCTAATACTCAGGTTAATTGTAAACTCTGTGCAGATGTATGTTTTGTGGTGCACCCCTCTCTTCCCCTCCTCGCCATCCTCCTTTATTACTACCTGGCTGAACAATGCAGGTCTACACACCCAGAGAGATGAATGTTTTTTGTAGCCCTGGTGGAAAGCCCCTTCTATAATAGAGAGCCCAAATGATTTGAGCCTGACACAGTCGACACCCGGGATCAGAAAAGGCCTTGGGAAGAGTCGTCAGTATTAGTCAAGGGGAGGACTCTAAGGACAAAAGAGAGACATGGGGAAGAAGAACCACTATGGAGGATACTACGAGGGCTAGATGGTGTCGAGAGAAGGATGTTGAATAAAAGGGGAAAGTATAGGGTCTACAGATGATAGAGGGATGATTCCCTAAGAAAAAGAAGCAGGGGTAGAGAGGATAAAGAGGGGATAGTGTGAGAGAAGGGATGAGAGGAGAGGGCCTGGGAAATGTCAGGGAGAGGTGAAGTGGGCACCAGAGATTAACTTTTCTCAGGAGGAAGACCAGGGTGTGATGTGAGACCAGGCTTAGTGTCAAACTCTACAAAGGTTGCCTATGTTTAGAGCTGGACTGCCATATATTTACTTCAAATAACAATCTCACTTGCTCTTCTCCTCATGTTCTGCCTTTGGTTTAGTCCTGCTGAACAACTTTTAACTCCTGAAACTTTCTCCAATTAACATACCTCCATCTCCCCTCTCTTCTAGATTGCACACTGTATAGACCCTCATCATTACTGCCTTGCCTCCTCCTCCTCCTCCTCCTCCTCCTCCTTCTCCTCCTCCTTCTTCTCCTGCTCCTCCTCTCCTTCCTTATGCTGACAGTATTTGTAGCTCTAAATTGCTAACGAGAGTCAGAATTTGTCTGTGCTCAGGACCTGTACAGCATATTTATGTGTAGGTCAACGCTTCAAAGATGAGAGCCTTTCAACCCAAAGGTTATACATGCATGCATTTGCATTCAATAACACTGCCCCAGAAAAGACATGCAAGATCAGATATTATATATATATTTCCCCCCCCTTGTCCTCTTTTTGACACGTGCCCTCGTGTTTGAGCAGAGAGCAAATTACTATACGAGACATAAGCATGAAATATGGCCGGTTCAAAGGCATTATGATGGATCAATATTTCACACATTTATATTCATATACTTGTACCTCAATCGTCACTTTTTTTCACGTGAACCCACATCACTGTCTGTATTACCATACATATGCAGGCTGCTATGATACACTTCATCCATCAGACTTCTTCAGATGCTGTACTTTTTTTATTGGCAGTCAGTTGTGCGTTGAATGCCAAACACCCTCCTTGTTCAGCAGCTGAAACTGGCCCTTCTGCCAGAACTGGAGATTGAGCTCTCCTTGTTTGGGTGGGCCTTTTTTAACCTAGATGCTATAGCTTTCTATTATAGCTACACAAGTGCCTTTTCTGTATTCACACTTCACTTACGCCCTCACCTCCACTTGTCTCTCTACTCCACATTCTGCACACACAAACAGGCCTCCCTAGCACTCTAAAACTTTACACAATCTCTTTTACCTTGCTGCAATAGTCCTGGTGGGATTCCACGCTTTGATCTTAGCTAGTTAAGGTTTCAGTCTGTGGACTTATGTGTGTGTGTGTGTGTGTGTGTGTGTGTGTGTGTGTGTGTGTGTGTGTGTGTGTGTGTGTGTGTGTGTGTGTGTGTGTGTGTGTGTGTGTGTGTGTGTGTGTGTGTGTGTGTGTGTGTGTGTGTGTGTGTGTGTGTGTGTGTGTGTGTGTCTCTCTCTCTGTCTGTGTGCCTCTGCACATACTGGTACTGTAAGTGTATGAGATGCACCTCCTGGGCCTCTTCATCACCCTGCTAATGCTGATTGTTGTGCCTGCCTCTGCTTCGTCTCTGTTAAAGCTAAGCTCCTAATGACTACATGCAGTCCGATATTGACTTAATTGTCCAAACGGCCATTGTTCCCAGGCCTTTTAACCCCTCCAGAAGCTTTCAATGAGAAAATTGTGTAAAGAGATTGTGAGAATGTCAATTGTGTACACATGGTGGAGCCCTGACCTGACAGGATGTTGAATTTCACAGTAAGCTCCTTCAGTAAGACAAGTAATCAGTGTGTGACTATAAAAGCAAGTACCGGTAATACATGCTTTATATGAATAGATTGATTCAACTTCTCTAAGTTATATCAATAGGAAATATACTTTAAGACTTTTTTTTAGATGTATGGGTGAATGAACTCAAAGGTGAACTCGCACACATATGTGCTCCTTAGCACACGCCTGATCAGCTTTCACTGCTCTCACTCTGTGAATGTCAATGCGAAGCACATACATTTGTAGAGGCAAAGTGTGTGTGCATGTGTCTTTTTCTATGCAGTAAAATATTAATGTTATTTTTTAACTGTTTTCTGAAAACAGAAACTGAACTGAACAGAACTCCACTATCAAATAAATAGTCAATAGTAATAGCAGTCAGTGTAGTGATAGATAGATAGACTCTCCATTGTCATTGTATAAAGAACACAACAAACTTTGTTGGCAGCAATCCTGTACAGCAGTGTTTACGAAATCTTTAATAGTAAATAAATCAAACAAATCACCAAAGGTTAGAAATAAAATGTTCATGTACCCGGCTTAACTTGAGTGTACAGTGATTACAGTTGATCACAGTTTAGCTTTGTGTGAACCATGCGGACTGACACCTCAATTGTAATATTTTTTAAACCAGTAGACTTCAGCTTTCAGTAAATGGCAAGGCAGTCTTATCCTTATAGGCCTTTCTCCAGGACATAAGTGAATGAATGTTGCAAGTCTTGGTGCTGGGGTAGTCTTATACATTGCTGAAACTCTCTTTATTCTCTCTCTCTTTCTCTCTCTCTCTTCTCTCCCTCACCTTTGACTGACCTTTTTCATTTTCTTACCTCTCAGCACATCTGACTCCTCCACCTCATCCTTATATGTACTGTAACATTTCTCTTTGAATGCTGTGAACATGATTCATGCTTTTATGAAATAAGACAAGTGCTCGTGTATCCTCAGAAGTAAAGGTTTTATTTGACCTGATTCCAATTATGCATGTTCAGCAGCAGGGTTTATGCAGAGGGCGCGTCTTTAGACATCTGTATTCTGCATGTGCACTGATGTTTGCTTTTCAGCTGAGATGGCTTGCAAAGTGTTCGAGAAAGAAATGCATGTGTAATACTCAGTGTTTCAGTCTACTTCCTTGTCATTCTGATGACTCCTCCCAAATGTTCCATTATTTATATCTAATGAGGTCTCTTTCTGGTGTTCTTTCCCCCTGTTTTTGTTCATACCGACAGATTTCCCTCTGTTATTGAAATCATCTTGTCTTGTCTTTGCCTTTTTCTCTCTCCCTTCAGTTCTGTGGAGCAATCCTGATGGAGCTAGATGCTTTGCTTCCCCTGGCAGTAGCATGCAGGGACAAATCTCTCCTAGAGGTGCGTTCGAGCTTTGTGGAGGCGTGTGGCCGGACCGCATTCGCCATGCTCGGCCGTTTGCAGGAGAGGGCCCTCGAGGTACCGTCCTCTGCTCCCCTGAAGAACCTGCCCGCTCTTATTGCCACTTGTGTATATGTGCACCAACGACTGGAGCACTACCATGCCCGACTGAAAGATTCACATACTACTGCAGCTAAAGTGTAAGGAGCGGGCTTCTACATGTGTGTGCTTGGTTGTGTATAATTTTGTGGGAGGGGAATTGTGTGTTGTCTGATATGACATAATGAATGTACCGGTATGTGTTTTACTTCATTTTTGGTGTGTAAATCCTTCATTCTATCCAGAATCCTCTGAAAATGAAATAATTATTGCATATGGATTTAATCATGGAGGAGATGGATCATGTTAACAAATAACAATTATATTTACATGTTACAGTCCTATGTTCTGTAATTCTGGTGAACAATGAAAAACAGTATGACTAATCATGACAAAAAACAATGTAAAAGGCACAGATTCAGACTGTCGAGGTCATCAGGGTATACAGTACTAGTAGGCAGGCAACAAACTTCAGTCTCTAAAAGTTTTAGTGTATGAACTTTAGAGTGGCTGTCAAGAAGACAGAAGATGGCTCTTAACCTGAGCTGTCTTGCATCTGCCTCATTCTTGCCCCTTTGTTTCCAACATTACGTATCATTCCTTGTATTTGACTTTAGTCAAAAAAAAAATAAAAACAGTACTCTAAATTGCATTTCTTTTTAAACCACACATTTCTTCCCAAGTTTGAACAAGTATATCCCAACTAATTTCAATACTGTATAAAATCTTGTCTTATGATTTTTGACCCAGTGGTGATCATAATAAAGATATGTATTAATAAAGGATTAGGGGATCACACATTCTGTGATGTATGTAATACATTTTGAAATAAAAAAAAAAGGTTGCACAGTTTAAAAAGTGGGGACCTTAGAGTTAAAAAAAGAAAAGGAGTACAAGTGATTGACAGGAGGTAATGACACCCATACTGTGTCTACATCTGGTGAGTTTTTATGCCCCGTAATACCCCCTTAACCTCGGCCTCACACCGGGCCCCTCTAAAGACATCTTTGGTGCTCCTGTTGTCCCACCTCTGGCCTTCTGCACCCCTCCACCTGCACTTGCATTGTGCCCCTCAGGTTATAAAGCACCTTCCTCTCTCTCTCTCTACACCCACCAGTACCCCTGGTCTTAAGCCCCCGTGCATAAAACTTTAAAACCTTGCCTCTCTCTGGAAATTGTCAAGGCAGGCAGATTTAAAGGATATGAAATGTCACAATGAACTTTTAAAATAAATCATTAGTTCTTTCACCAATTCAGGACACCTCGTGTGTGTGATAGCTGCTCTGTGAATATACAGTGGTCAGCTAAGCATCTGGATTACAGGATTTTGGCCTGCTGGACTCTTGACCACATCCATCCCTTTCTTTTGTTCTTAATTTACCATGATAGAGCATGCTTTTTCCTTTACTTCTAATTACCTTTAATGGTTTGTTTCCTCCCTCTATGCCTAGACCCCTGACCCTGCTGCCCATTCAGAAGTACCACGATACAACTGAAGCCTTAAAAGAACAGCTGACCAGCTACTGTTCCCAGGTCTGCTCCACCTGCATTCTTCAAGATGCAGAGAGTCATCACTGGGCCGACCCTAAACCCTTCTATGAGGTAAAATGTTGACAAATTGAAAGTAAATGTGTTTTTTTTCCCCCTCAAGATATACACAAAAATATCACCATACAGAGTTTGAGTCGCTTGTATCTAAAATATACCAATTAAACATATTTGAGTATTGCTTATGTACAGTACCCTCTTAATCCTTAAAACATATCTAATACTGTCTTCTGTGGATTTCCCCACTTTTATTGTAGAGAGTGGATATTCTAATGCCACGTGCCTTAGCAGGCTCTTTTTCTGTTCTTCTGTACGCTGTACTCTTAGGAACTCCTGGAATTATACTCTGGAGCTTTTTTGCTTCTTCTTTTCATTCCCACAATGCACCTTTACCTCCCACTCTCCCACTTCTAACCGAGCGTTCTCCTCTGAGCTCCCTGAGAACATCTGTGGCTTCCATGCTGCCCCGGGGGCTCCAGGGATTCAGCTGTCTGAAGTCTGCAGTCTACACTGCGACTGTCTGGAAACAGCATAGGGCCCCCGAAACTCCCCTACCTTTATGCCCTTAAACCAATCTAAACCTCCCCTCACTTTCTTTCTTTACTCCGCTTTTGCCTTTTTTTCTCTTTGTTCCTCCCTCCTTCTCTGGGTCACTGGTGTCAGACAGACCTGCTGTGCGCAGGTGTGTGCTTTTGTTCAAGCATGCCTGTGTGCATCTGTATAGATGAATGAACATGTGGGTGTGCAGCAGCATCTCCGGATGGGCCTTTCATTTGGTTTCTGTGTATGTATCTATATATTCATGTCTGTTGTGTATATGTTGTATGCATTAAGTTTTCATCTCCAGGATCTCCAGCTTTGTGTATCAGCTCTGTCAGGGTTAGTGTAGCTCTAGAGACCCTTCCATAGCTTGCCTTGATAATAACACATGAATACTTTTTTTCAGTTTTTTTCGTGCCTTATTGGATATTACAGCTTAAGAGAGAGAGGGAATGTTAGGAGTAGAGACATTGGGGTGACATGCGGCAAAGGGCTGGGGTTGAACCCATGGTCGCTGCTTAGGCTATCTGGCGTCCCAAACAAATGAATAGATTGTGTGTATGACTATTTCAATGGGGAAGGTTGAATTAGTGTGTAAAGGTTTTGTACTTGCTTTAAATGTGTCTATTTAATTGTCAGAGCCTACAGATTTCTGTGTCTGGGGGTCTTTTTTGCTTCTTCTCAGCTGTAATTTATTAATTTTTCCAACAGTAAATGGACAAATTTAAATTTGCTGGACTTTTTAGGATTGATATGAATAAGATATTGTGAGGTTTATGATCATAGCTCTGTCCTAGCCGTGGTCTGTTTTCTTCATAGTATATAGCATACTGGTTACCACTGTCATCTCACAGCAAGAAGATTCCTGGTACTAATCCCTGTTGGACCTTTCTGTGTGGAGCTTGCATGTTCCCCCCCCCGTGCATGGGTTCCCTCCAGGTATTCCAGCTTCCTCCAACAGTCCAAAGACATGCTCACTAGGTTAACTATGACTCTAAAATTGCCGTAGGTGTGAATCTTGAGTATGCTTGTTTTTTTTGCCTCTGTGTTGTTGGCGCTGTTATTGACTGACGACCAGTCCAGAGTGTACCTCTCACCCATTGACGGCTTCAGCCCCCCCATGACACTGAACAAGATAAGCAGTATAAGTAATGGATAGAAAGCAGACATAAGACTACTGTAACTGACCAATCAGAGTTTTCAACAGAACTGTGTAATAACCTCATAACAGCACATGGAGGTTGTTAGGACAGTCAAAGGACATTTAGAAATGGTCTTAACAAGAAAATCCTCTGAGAACTTACTTGTTAGTACTTTGCCTACAGTGCTTTCAAAGCCATACACAGAATGTTATCATAAAAAAAGAGTTATTAAGAGTTTCCAAGTTTATTTCGTCCTCAGGTTCCTATTCCAGATTCAGTCGTCACTCTCGCCAGACTGTCATCACTAACAGGAATTTGTACCTAGTTGACCTAGCTGATTGAGTAAAGTTAGACCTGAATGAATGGATAAAACAGCACAACCGCACATGTCGTTTTTGCTGCTCCTGGTTTGGATCTAATGTCTGATTCTGCTGAGTCCACAGGCGAAGGATGGTGGTGTAATCCCGGACATAGAGCTCGGTCACGCTCCCCATCAACCGCAGATCCCTAAATGACTGGCTCTAGGGAGGAGAGGAAGGGTAGAGGAAGGGGAGAAGGAAAATATAAGAATGATGAGGTGAAATGGGAAGAAAGTGAGAAGGGACCATGGGGCATGATGAGTTGAAGACAGGAGGAAGTTTTGGATATTTCCCCGCCACGCACACACACAGTTTATTGTTAGAGGTTAAACATGAGGAGTTCAGATGAGTGGAGGTAGAAGACTGAAGTTTATTGAATGAGTTCGTTTATATACTTTTCAACAAAGCCACAGGATAAAAATCTCTTTCTCATTCTGTCCTCCCTCTCGCTCTCTTGCTCTCTCTTGCTCTCTCTTGCTCTCTCTTGCTCTCTCTTGCTCATATCTTTGAGAGGGTTCTTGATTTCCTTTTTTCTCCTTGACTTTCTATGTATGTGCGACTGTTGTGATGTGTTCTCCAGTTCTGGACTTTAAAGCAGTCGAAAAATCCCAGCGGGGGTAGAAACCCAGGTGCAGAGTGCAGGTGGTATGACCACTGAGACATACTGGTGTTGACAGTCCTGCCTCGGTCTCAGTCCCTCTCTTTCTTCTCTTTCATGTTTTTTTCTCTCCCCGCTCTCTAACTTCATGCCCTTTTCTTGGTCCTCTGTTTTGGCTTCAGTGTCATTACCCATATCACAATATATCTTCATCTGGAACCCCCTCGTCTCCTGTCGAACACTTTCTTCCACAGGGTGAGCGCTGTTCCTTCTCCGTGCAGATGTGGTTTTACTTTTTGTGTGGGCTCCGGAGCGACCTGTGGGCAGTGCTCCCGGCGGAGTTAGCCAAGGAGGTGTTGGGCCAGGTGCTAGCAGAGACTCTACAGCTGCTTGTGCAAAGATATGCCAGAGCCCGTCCTTCATACAAGAGACTCCTGCAAATCAGGTACTTTAAGATGTAAAAAGGTGGCCTCATTTATGTATCCAGAACACATCTTTTTACTCGTTGTTATTAAGGGATTTATTGCAACAGGCTGCCAGGGTTTTTTTTTTTTTTTTGTCATTTCAATGTAGCACAATTTGTCGTTTCTACGTGATCTTTCGAGATGCATCTTTTTTCAGTCCTTAAAAACTTACTAAATGACTTCCAGAGCACATTTTCAGATCAAATCAATTATTTAATATTTGACGTTTCAGACCATAAAAATGATTTTTCTTTGGTTTAAGGAGTCTGATGGTTCTCCTTCAGTTGAACTGTTGCAACACACTCTGTTATAATGCCTTTATAAACAGCTTCCATGAGTTTGTCGAGGCCGCTGCTGTTTCCCCACGTGGTGGCAGGGCTAAACAACGGAGAGGGAGTGGCTCACATGATAAAAACACGTATGAAACAAGTTTGAGCCTCTTTGTAAAGCATAAACAAGCTCAGCAAGTATTGTCCCATCCATGTGAACACAGACCCGAGAACAAAAAAATCCTGAGGGATTTTTAACTCTCACTCTCTTTTTAGTCTTTACTCCACAATAAATTTACAAAGGGTATTTTTGATTTTTTTTTTCTCTATATATTCAGAATGTCACATATTATGCCTTTACAGGTTTAAAAATGAAGGATTTATATGTTTTCACGTATGTTTTCCTGTTACGTTGAAAACATACACAGAAATGCTCAAATGAATGTATGAACCCTTCGTGAAAGTGTAGTGGATTTGACTGATGGTGTCAGAAATCGTGTATTAATGCTTTTCAGATGAGTGCACACCACAACTTAATTCCACCCCTGCATGAGTCAGTGCCTCATTTTTACCAGTCTATGACCAGCCTTATATCAGGGGTCATCAGATTGTTGCACCTCTTCCCTCTGTAGCAGAATGATGACAATGAAAAGATTTAACCGTGACACACAGTAAAACAACAAAAGAGTGACAAAGATAATGTGTATTCCACACATGTAGCACCACCGGATGTCAACACTGAGCCTGGTTTATGTTGCTTTGGGATGCATGTGTTTCCAGAGTGACATTTGTAAAGCATAAGCTCGCCTAAACAGATGGCTTTTCAAAGTTTCCTATGTTTACAACAGGAACATGGGCACTCTTACGATATCTCACCTCTCCTGCATCAGTCCGTCCCTGTGTGTGTATGTGTGTGTGTGTGTGTTTAATAACCATGTAGGCCATGTGAAGAGCAAGGATGAGGAGATGAGAGATGATGAGCAACTCTCCTAAACCAATTGAGGAAACAGATTTAGGGGCGTTGAGATTTAAAAGCAATGACTTTTATAGTGAAATTCAAAGCCTCCAGTACATTTAACTTTCAACAGTAAAACCAGCAGGAGGTCGTATTATCTGACTGCCTGCGCAATGAGGCTGTTATGTCATGATGTAATGTTGGATGTTAGCCTTTGAAGACAGAGAAGCTTGCCTTTTGTGCATTAACGTGATAGTGCCTTCCTCTTTCTCTAAATGTGTTCTCACATATTCCCTCACATCTCCTCTTGTCCCCTTTCATCAATACATTTGCCTTCTCTCGTTCTGTGCTCTGTGTGTCAGGTGTGACATAACAGCCGTGTTGCTGTACGTGGAGCAGCTTATGTGGAGTGTGTGTGAAAGTCCTGAGGCTCTGGTGCACTCCAATCCTTTTTCAGCAATTGCCATAATAGCAGGAGGAGCAGACTGGCCATACATAATCCATAGCCTGTGTGAGCAACTCCTGACAGTCCTGGTCATTGTCACAGCACCCCTATCTTTGCTGTACAGGTTAGTATGCTCAGTTTGTTTGCCTCACCAGCAATTTACCTTTCTCTACAATGTCTTTACAACCTTTACTGGAAGTGATTGGGCCACAACTGATGTAAAAAAAAAAAAAAAAATGACATTTTTAAAATTCACACAAAAAGATGTATTTGGTTTGATGATACAACGTCTGCAGAGGTGTGACCACTTAAAACCACTTTTTTATGCATTTAAAATGTATGTGTGATCTCAATTCCTGCAGGATATTTATGATTGATCGTGCTAAAGAGTCTGCCCCACATCAGCCTGACAGCCCTGTTGTCCACTGGCTAAATGCTATCAACCCAGACCTCTTCACTGAGCAGGTCATACGGTATGTAAAATACACACATCATACCATCCATCACCCTTATCACAGGAGGCACATACATGCACATTCACACACACAAACTTGCACACACGCACATTCTGGTATGCTAAGCCATCACACACACCTCCAACAACTATATAGAAAACCACATGTGTGTGTGAAGGCTGCATACTGTATGTGCAGATATGTAACTAAAACTTGCTGTTGCTCATGGCTTGAAGCTAGAGGTACTGCGCTAATATAGCACAGATGCAAGCTGAGAAAGAAAATAATTAGATAAACTTCTGCTGCTTCTGACACTGATTTTGTATATATTGTTGCATGTTGCTCGCTGTACACACAAGGTGTCAACAGAACACATTGGGATGTTTATATCTTTGCACATGTGTCCATGTATGCATACATGTGTGTCCAGTTACTGTCATGACCACCGGAGTGCAGTCAATCACTCTCCCCTTTCACCCTTGACTCCACCCTCCTCCCCTCTCATCTCTGTCTCTCTCACAAGAGGTGATGTCATTGCGTGCTGATGGCACACAAATCAAGCCTACCCCTGGCTCCCTCTGCTCCTAAATATTGGAGAGCTGAAATTATTTTATTTTTATGACCTCTTTATTTCTTTGCTCCAACCCCCTGCCTGCATGCAAAGTCGCCAGGGGGCCTTTTCATGGGCCCGGGGCCAGGTCCACAGGTCCTCATCCTCGTGGCCAAATCTCTCTGCAGCCTATTAAAATAAAACCATTATTATGGTTATTTAATAAACCAATAATGAAATCACAAAGCCCATAAATAAATCATCCAGCATAGCATTGACTGTAAAACTGCACTTGAAGTTATGTTTTCTGGCCTTATGTGTGCTCTATATTTGCACTGGTTGTTTTTTTTTTTTTTGCCTTTGCACATGTGTGTGTTTTTGTGTATGTGTGTCTTGGCTCTGTAAGCTGACCCTCTGCTGTAGCCGCTTAGATTTATCAATGTAGTTAAAAGAGGATTTCTTCTGGATTTGCGTCCTAGTGACATCATAAATTGCACTGTCAGATTGAGGCATAGTCTTCCTCAGTCAAGCAGCAGGGTGCACCCCGCTCTCGCTTTCTGCCTCAAATAGTATGGTTAATTTTGGGCAGACACCCCCTGCTCTCTCCCCTCTCCCTCCTCCTCGCTCTTCAGACAAACTCTGTCCATTCCTTCCATTAGGTTTTATTGAGATGTATAAAGTAACATGCAGGCGCACACATGTCAGCATGCTCTCACACTTGCACACATACATAACCACAAGCCTAGGCTCTGAAGGGTGCACACAAGAATACACTTACACGCACACACACCAAGGATACGGCTCATTACCCACAGCTGGCTGCAGCCTCTTGGTTATACAAAAGATGTAGGAGGGGGGTACTGCTGTATATTCATGTATTTGGCGGTCTCCCAAATGTTAATTTGGTTTTAGCTGGCCAAGATTAGAGCTAATTCCTTCCCGGTGCACACTATAAGTAAGCAGGAGTGAAAGCATTTGCAGACTAAGCTCGTATCAGGAGTGAGTGACACTGAGGGAAGCTCCCATTGAAACATAAACACTTTTTCCTCCCAGATTGTCATCCAAGACAGCTGTGATATCAAATTTTGTCTTTCACTTTGAAGCCTCTTCCCTCCTTTGTTGTCTCTTGCTAAATGGACTGCTATCTGTACGCTCACCTGACACTGCAGAACTGTCAACATTGTTTTCCTCCTCTCCTCTCCCAGAGATGGTCTTATGGGCCAGGCGGCCTCTGCATGTCAGCTGAGGCTGCTGACCTCTGACCCCGGATGCAATCCCAGGTTGCTACTGCAAATGTTGCTGTACAGAGACTGTCACCTGCCCAGAACACTCCTAGAACTCTCGTGTAAGTCTGTCTGTTAAGTGTGCATGGATTTGTTATTTTTTTATTTTTGTATTAAGAATAGGGATATATCATTTGAGTCCCTAGTTTTCAATCTTCTAAGAGAAAATTTAACTATCTTCAAAAGTTCTTGAATGTTTCTTTTTTTTTTTAAACTGAACCCACAGAATCAATCCTTCAGGAGCCATGTGTGGAAAGCTGTTTACCAGTGTCTTAATTATGTTGCCCTGAGATCCTTAGCGAGTTTTACAGACCTTAGATGAGCTCTATCCATTTTATGAAGTTATCATCAGCATCTTTGCCTTCATCATCATTTTCACCTTGCTCACCATCATCACTAAATCAATAGAGAGTAGTAATAAACACTCAACAGGCCCAGGCGGAGCACACGCGCTGACCTTTAAAGATTTTCCCTTCCTTCTTTCCCCTCCGCACCGGCAACGGTCTAACCTTTAAAGACTGTTGTGCACTCGCACATTAATTCACATTATAGCGACCTCATTAATAACAACTCGCACTGTCTCATTCTCTCGCTTGGTCTGAGTCTGGCTCAGAGGCTCTGCAATGCTTCTCCCCGCGCACTGCTGTAAATCAACGCTGGAAGCGCTGACTCTCGCGTGTTATCACGTTGACGGGCTAATTAACCAGGAAGTAGACAGACAGAGGGAACAGCCTGACTGAATGCCTACATTCCCATAATCCACTGCCACTTCCCATACTTTCATATACTTGACTTCTTGGTCAAAAGCAGAACCTCAGTATAGATCATAGTAATGCAGAGAGTCTGAAGCTCTTGAATTAGACTCTCATCTATCTTATTTAGCCCTATTTTGTGTATTAAAGTAATTGTTATGCAGTCCAACAATGCCTGACCATTCTAACTTTGGTTCATAAGAAGTTCTGCTTTAACACAGTGGTCGCTAAGTGACACATTTAACAGTGAAGTATGCATAGTTTATATCTAAATACTAATGGTTTAAATATCATACTAAATAGCTAAAGAGCTAGCTAGAAAGCTAAGCTAACTGATGGACCTAGGATTTTAAAATGTATTCATTCGCAGGGGAAAGTACGACTCCCACACGTTTAAAATAACACACAACTCAACTCACACTAAATCATGTGATACACAACTTGTGGTTGTGGTACACACGCCACTCGCACACACACACACACACACACACACACACACACACACACACACACACACACACACACACACACTTCCTTTTTATTATTATCAGCGTGTCTGCTTCCAATTAGAGAAGTCTGCAGAGAGGGCCCTAGTGACTGGTTGACTGGTCGTCCGGAAGATAAACAGGTGTAGCTATTGGCTATGTATCAAGGTTGGATAAGCTTGGAGACTGAGAGGGAGGGAAAGAGAGTGCGGAAACATTGAAAAAGCAATCGGGAAATCGACATAAAAACACAAACATGCTGGAGTTACTGTATGCAGCAGCAGTAGTAGAAACTCGACAGAGATGTGCCAGCGCACTGTCATCTGTTTTTCTCAAGTGTTCTGCTGCTACATAATGGGACCATTATTAAAAGGCACCTAGTTAACCTGCCATGCTCTCCAGCACCTCACATGGAAATTAATGTTAGTCACCCCTGTTCCTTTGGACAGTTGCAGCCACAGCAGTATTATACAGAGCAAACTCTCCTTGAGGACCAATTAAGACAGACAGGCTGAGAACAAGATGCTTGTGTAACCCACACAATTCTGGTTAATGGACTGATTTTAGGATAGTTATGTTGACCACCTTTTACTCTTTTTTTTAAATGTGACAAACCAGGAAACTAAGAGATAAAGACCGGAAGATGAAGAAAAACGGTCATCATCTGGACCTTGATAGGTGGCTTTAAATTCCTACCTGCCTGTTATTACGGTGCCCATTATGACTGCAGCAGCTAATTTGGCTCTGTAATTTTAAAATAGTCCAGTATTAGTCAGACTGAAGCCCCGCTGCCCTCCATCACAGCACCCCCTCATTGACTGCTGCGTCGCATACACCCTCCAATTCAAATAGCTGTCATCTCCCACACAGCAGACTGACAGACCTCTGGATGTCTGCCACCTCTGGAGCGGTGGGCCTTTTTCCTCAGCAAACCCCTGTCAACTGAACACACACACACATTTATATGCACACAAAACACATATATAGACATCCTTATGGGTAAAACACGCACACACCTCCATCCGCAGCCCTGTGCTTTTCAGACAGCAACCCCCACAAGGACACCCTGTCAAAACCTCTTCCTTTTCACTTCCTGTCTCCATGTGCTGTGGGGGCTTTGAAATCTGTTCCTTTTTCTGTTTTTTTTTTTCTAGTCCGTTTTTTTCTATCCCATCTAACACAGATGTGGGTTTTTCTGCTCCTTCTATCCCACAACGCCTTTTGTTCAGCCGCTCTGTTAACATGTGTCAGGTTGGGCAGCCTTGACATTTTCCAATGTGTTTTTGTGCAAGGAAATCAAGATGCTGTTTCACAGGATAGGGTTTTATACACTATCTTTCACTACCTGACTCCATAAGGTTGATATTTTTTCTGAACTGTGATCCAAATGACTGAATCCATGAGTGCAAATGAGTAATTCTTTTTATCTCTTTGTGTATCCTGTTGTTTGTGTGACAGTGTCAAGTGTTCTGAATATGAAGTTTCATCAAATCATTGACATTTTGAAAACCCACAGATTTACTGTATTGCACGATTAAGTGTCTCAATGACTCAGACTGACTCTTTTTGTTCTTCTTCTTTTCGTCTTTTTTAGACTTTTGCCAGAAGAGCAGATTAGAAACATCTACAGAGCACTGCAAAGCAGCAGATGACTTCGTGGTCACATTGTTCAATCTTTTCAGTTGCTTAAACAATGTCCCCAAGGCCTTGACTCAGGTCCTTGAGCCATACCTGGAACAGGAACAAATATGGGAACATCTTTACACATTGGCAGGTAAAGTAGAAACCAGCTAGGTTTTAAAGGTGAAGCTCAAAGTCTTTACCGCAGACTTGCATGACTTTTATTTTGCTGTAACTTGAGCAGTTCTTCTGCACAATTCTGTTTTCAAGTAGAGGTTTAACACTTTAATGCAATAATGTGAAGAGCACATAAAAAAATTCCTAGTCAGAGCGGTTTTCATCTTATGATAAATTTCTGCATTTCAAAAATAATACGTTCTTTTTTTGAAACATACATTTAATATGCTGTTACAGAGATGATAATGACTCCTCTACTCTTTATTTCTTTTAGCCTCTTTTTGGTACAAACTTAGATGCAGACCTTAATCACAACTCCTTTGGAGTATGGAGCTCTTTCTGGTGGGGATTTTTTTTTAAATCCTGGGTGAGTGGTAATTATTGTAGCATAAAGTAGGGTGATTGAAAAGAGTATTTGGATGGAGACGGAGCAAGGGAGGGGTCGACAGAGGGAAGGAACAAAAAAAAGTTAGAATGAGGCAGAGAGAAATTCTCAATGTCATCCAATCATAGTTTATCCTCACAGGGTAATTAGTTTAATTATTGGACTGTGCCAAATCTGTGTGTTATAATTTTGGTTACAGGATACCCCCCGTGCCCCCATTTCTATTTAAACTGTTCACTGAGTTAGCTTTCATAGATTACATTACTATTTCTCCTCTTATACTGTTATTTCATCACACTGTAGCAGGTTGTTTCAGATCAATACACCAGTCGATATGGTAGCGGGCGGTGTAAAGTCTGAGAACCAAATGACTTTGAAAAATAGGTCTTGGTCTCACCTGCCACAGAGCGCTTCTCCTTCGAAAAGCTGTATCATTTTCGGTCCCATGCTCCTCTTTTCCTGTGGGTCTGAGGTCACACTTTTGTGAGGGGTCCCTGGAGATGACAGTGTGCCTCCACTGCAGCCATGGCACTATATCTCTCTGTTGTAGCCTTTGGTTTTACAGCCGAAGCTGTAGGAATTTTATGGGTGCCATAGAACTTCATGCTGTAGGTGCTCTGTTATCGATATGAGCAGGATATGAAAGGGCAGAGCTTGAAAGACATGGTGCACCTGGAGAAGGTAGTATGATTTCTACTGTCAGGCCACCTGGGTTTGATAGAGAACATCTGCATTTAACGTTACAGTGCTTCATTAAATGTTGATATTTCCACAGGATGCCTTTGCACTTTGTGGATGTGTAAGGTATTCAAGTCTATGTTCATTCATAATGCCTATAATAGGTAATGTAATCCCTCTTTAATTTGGTATCAGTCATGACATTGAAGCTGCTTTTACTTTTAAGAACATTATAGCACATGTCTTCGGGTCTTTGGTTTAAGAGTTCAAACTTTTTATGATTCAAGACTTAGAATTATAATAGAACAGTTTCTATAAATCTCGCTGTTGCCTCACAGCGAGATGATTCCTGGTTCGAATCCCCGTTGGACAGGAGCTTTTCTGTGTGGAGTTCCGAGTCCGTCCATGTGTGGGTGGTTGTCTGTTTCTATATGTCTATTTGATTGACTGGTGACCAGTCCAGGGTGTACCCCCTTTCGCCCAATGACAACTGGGGTCAGCTCCAGCCTCCCCTCGACCACAAATGGGAAAAGCAGTATAGTTATTGGATTGATAAAATACAATGTTTATTTCTTAAATTGTATATATAGAGACTTTATTTGTACTGCATGACTACCCTTAAAGTTTGTTATAATGGTGTTTTTCATACGTCATGCATCTTGTCTGCGTTTCAAATTCAACTGTAAATTATTTCAATTTTTTCTCAATACTGTTACCAAGGTAAAGAAACTCTTCTTCACCACATTAATTTTAGTTCATATGCTGTAGCAGAGTTTCTCTAAGGCCAAGCAATAACTTCACATGAGTCAATTTAACAGTGGAATTTGTCGGTTTGTCCGTTACCTGATTTTCTTCTTCATCACTGGCTCAGTCCTTCATAATGCCCCACACCGGACACGGCCAAGCAATAACTTTGTGTTTGTTCTTGTACAGCTCAGCTTTATGTTTTTTTTTTTTTTAACTGTCAGTTAAAGAGAATGAAGATCAATACAATGTGTACAGTCTTAAGATTTCAGTTTGATAGACTTCCATGCACTCTTCTCGACCTGCCTTATTTATTTACCTCTTTTTTCAGACACAACAAGAACCGTACCTGTGGTGATCAGCTGTGTTCGAGGGATAGTCAGCAAGTCCACCAACAGCCTCCTGGTACACCTGGTCTCCATGGTGACAAGTTGGCAGGCGACAGAGGAGCCCTCTGCAGTGTTGTTCAAGCAGAATGTACCAGAGAGCATTCTGGCTAAAGTACCCAAAGAATGGAACTACACACCACAAGAAGCAAGGGGGAAGGAGACTCTGACTAAGAGTATGTAGAGACTGAGTCTCACATTTTCAACTTAGATAAACAAAAATATTATTTTAAACTTGACTTTCTTTCTTTCTTTCTTTCCAGCTGTCATATCCATTACTATTCAAGCCTTGTCCTTCATTTTGACCAACCTGCCGATGGCCGTAGCATCAATTCCCCTCCCCATCCGCTTCCTCTTCCAAGTGGCCGAGAAGCACCTTTCCCAGCATGCCCGGCAGCTGCGCTTAGTGGGCCTGTTACTCTGGGCTTTGCTGGGCTGTCTGATCCAGGGCCTGGAGGACCCACACACTCTGGAACAGATCAGTGGAGTGGAGCTGGACCGTGGGGCAAAGGACACTCTGTCCCTGCTGGCTGAGTGCCTACAGGCTGCGATGGGCATTCAGCAGAAGGTAGCCTAATGTGATAAAGATAATGATAACAATAATATCAATAATAATAATTAGAGGGGTTCATTTAATGCGAGCCATCAAATCCACCATCAACCATCTGACTTTCGCTCATTTACATTAATGGTCTGCCGTGTGTCTGACAGGGCGTTCCCAAACCCACAGTGCACAAAGTGCTGCAGGCTCTGGAGGAAAAAAGACCCAAGTGGACAAACATGCAGCTGCAGAAAGCTCGCAAGCACTGCTCAGACAGGTGAGAGGTCAGCTACAAGTATGAAGCAAGAGGTCAAGGTCAGACGGGTATTATTAAGGTAGTTTATATTAATGTTTTTTGATAAATGTAGTCTATATTAATTGTGTTATGCATTCAGGGAAAATGTGCTATGCATTAATTATCCATCATTTATTCCCCTTTTCCATTGATTATTCATGAGGAGCTTTAACATAACATTAAGTGTCATTTTATCAAGATTATTATGATTGTAAAAATTTCTCTCTATGAAATGAGTTCCCGATACATGAATGAAGTGGTTTTATTCACTATAAACTCAAAAAGCTCAACATAACAATGAGAATAAGCATTTAAGCATCTTAGAACTGCTCCTTTTGATTGCACATTTATTTTTCTGAAGAATGGAATGACCAAGATGATCTTTGTGAGATCAATGTATCTCAGATGTGTTTCTTATGGTAAATGATGGGCATGGCGTCTGACTGAGTGGTCTACAGGTCGGACTGTTGGGAAAACATCTTTCACTTTGGGCTGATCTGTGACCTTTGGCTCTACGTTTTGTTACTCGTTCCCAGAAATTGCGCCTCTGGTCGCTCACTTCATCATGACAAACTCTGGACGCATCCATCATCATAAAAAGGAGATTCAGCACTGCAACGCACCATGTTCAATTAAAAGAAAAAAGAAGAAGAATGAAATAAATAAAAGAGCACTGAGTAGATTATGGCCAGTTCTAGGAAATGCTGTTTGTTTCAGAGACGGGAAGAGAGGACGAGACGCCAGGGGAAGGGAGGGGTGGCAGTGTGGTGGAGGGACAGTGAGGGGGGGCTGAGTGGAAAAGTGAAAGAAGAGTGATTATGTATCACCTGTCGGAGGCATTGAGTGGGATCATTACTATTCATTAAACTAACCTTCACAGGGAAGTGACGCCTGGCTTGTAAACAATCAGAATACAGTGTCAGAGAGAGAGAAAGAGAGAGAGAGAGGGGGGGGAGAGATAACTCCAAAAACAACTGATGCTCCACTCTCTGGCATCTCACCTGCTCACACATCGAAAGCTCAGTAATACCTGCAACAAAGACCATTTGCCCCCTCTGAGCCCTCTCGACTCGGTACCCACATCCCACTTTCTCTCCTTCCTTTCCCAACTTTACCCCTTACCCCTCCTCCCCACGCCACCCACCTTGTCTTTGCAAAGTAATTTGTTGAGGAGAAGATTATTGTTCTCCATCATGGTGACCCTGGCTGGGCTGACGGGATGCATACACAGATGAAGATGAATGCAGTTATTCCTTGGCGGAGGTCTGCCTCTTTCAGGGCACATTGGCCCTAATGACATGATTGATAGGCTGTCCCAAATCCGGAGGGGCCCTCATTAATCACCGCGCTGACTGAATCCAATCATCTGCTTCACCTGCACAGTGATGGACAGGAAAGGATACAGCGCAGGTGCTGACACGGGTGCACAGCCACCATCGCCGACAACAACATCACCGCGGGGCTCGCCGGGCAGAAGAATGAGTGGATGTATGTGGACGAGAGGGGACTCCTCTTCCTCGGCAACTCTCAATGTCAAGCAGCCAATGGCGGGCTGACAGGCGACACCGATTCTGCCACCTTATAATTACAAAGAGGAAGACGGAGAGAGAGAGAGAACAATGACAGGGAGTGTATGTGAAGGAGAAGGCTTGATGGACGGGAGTGTGATATCCATCCATACTGAAAGGGCGGGAAAATGATGCGGCCGTCTGCCAGGGCACGGGCCTGTACATGCATGAGGACCTTGACACACAATTACACACACACATACAAGCTAAAGAACACACACACAAATCATTTTTAGTGCACTGGTATCCTTCAGACAAAATACTGCTATGTATCTCATGAATAATAATAGAAACAGGGGAAATTATTTTGTTATCTAACACTCAATAATCTGTCTTTATTTCTCACCTTTTTTTTTTTTTCAACAGCCTTAGCCTTGACCGGGCATCGGGTCAACATTTATTGCTTATAAAACAAAAATTAATAGATTCTAAACACAGACTTTTTTAAGTTAATATTCTTGTTGATTCCAAATTAAAATGTTATCACAAATAATTATCCCCTAAACTAGAAAATCCCTCCTCAGCCATGGAAAGTATAGATGAAAAAGCTGACTCCCCACCACTTCATATTTCCCTCTCTTTTCTCTTGGCTCCACTCACTGTTTTTTTTTTTTCTGTCTATCGTTTGTTTTCTCTCCCATCTCCTCCTTTTCCCCTCTCTGTTTCTCTCTCAGCATGTTTGAGCAGGGAAGGGAGAGCGGAGTTGCTGTGGCTGAACTGACTGAGCAGAAAATAGGCCTGATGCTGCTGGAGGTCTGCCACAAAGCAGGTGGCAACGACTACCTGAGGCAGATCTATAACATCATCCAAGCCAATGAGGTAGGGAAGCACTGCCTCTCCCCAGCAATTAGGTGGCTGCTGGCCTGAGGCCGCAGGCTGTTCAGGAGGGGGAGACGGAGGGAAGAGGGCTGCTGCCTGTGTGCGGTCTGCTCCTTCTGATCTTCTGTTGTTCAGGTGACCTCAAGGGTGTGAACCTGCAGTGATATCCTGTGTTAGATGCTAGGAGAGGAGAGGAGAGGATAGAGGAGACGAGACGAGACACATTTGAGTGAATGATTTGGTCCATCAGAGAAATTGTCCATTTTTAGGCTGGCAGTTGTTGGTGTTTTTGTTACTTTTCTACAGATTACATCAAAAGATCAAATTTTGCTGAGTTAACTTTTTCAATACTTCTGACTTTCACACCTCATCCTTGGTGCAGTCTTATACACATTTGTTCCTTTAAAAAAACACAACCCTTAAACTTTTCACAGGAGTAAATAGTTTTTTTGTATTTTAAGCTTGAAAAGATAGTCTTCAACAATCAACAGAGGTCTTACGCACAGGGAAAGGAGCTTTTTCAGACTCTATCTTCCACATTGTTATTGTTATTGTCTTGTTATTGGCATATATTTTGGTCTTTTCATGGAATTTCTTGACACTTTTCCAACACTAATGAGCACAATTACATAGGACACAAACTGTCAGGAGCAGGGAGAGGATACATTTTACATTTTACATTTGGTGGTCGTGTGATTCTTACTGATATGGTCCTCCTATAGACAATCAGTTAGAACACAGCATGGAATAACAAAAACGTAAGCATCTATACATTATATATAACTGAGTCCATAACAGCTGTAACTCTACATAGCAATCGAACAAACTGTGAATGGGATTCTCGAGCAGGCTCTGAGTTTCCCTCCTGGCAACTCGAGGATCTCTACCCTTCCAAGGTCGAGGCAAGAACATGAGGGTCAGGGACAGACCGGGCTGCCCGAGAGGTGGAGGGATAGGAGGTGTCGGAGGCCATGTCAAACTGACGGATGGGAATATTGTGAATTCACACCAGGATGCCCATGTACACACACACACACCTACAGAGACAAAAAGACACACTCAGATTTATATACTGTACATCTTGTAAGACAGCTATAATGAGCAACCACTGCAGAGGTTAGAGAAACAAAAGTATGTTATAAGTTTTGTTCTATATTTTCACAAGTCATTTTCACAAGTCTCTTTCTTAATTGCTCTGATTTATTTTTTCTGTTTGCTTTTAATTAGAGAAAATGTTTATCTGGACTAGCCTTCTCCATTGAAATTTGGAAGAAGGAAAGTATCCAACCTGTCAGAAATTATAAGTCAGTTCTTTTTACTGGAACTCTCAAACTGTGAGCCAATGTTAAGAAACTTCCTGAAGTATGGATGTATGCTTTGCTGCCCTTTCAGTTAGAGGAAGTTTACTTGTTAATAACTTTTTGGCCTCCCTCTCTTGGTCAGTTGTTGTCTATATAGAATTTTAATTAGATATATGTCCTTTCAAACAGTTTTTCAATAATAAAAATGTAATTTTCAACCTTCCTCTCTTCTGTCTCTCTTGTTTCTACCCTCTTACTCCCCTATCATCTTGGATACAGGCGCTTTTGATGTTCAAACTAACAGGAAGCACAAACTCGTCCGCTGATTCTCCTCACTTGGTGAACTTTGACCCTCAAGTGGACCCTGATGCCGGCTTCAACCCTCTCCAGGAGTTTGACCACATTGGAAAGAAGAAGCTTGATCAGGTTAGTTAAGCAGTTTTAGTTTTATATATAAGCTTATAAGGCTATCAAAAAAAATACTTTTAATTTATTTTAGCGATATGAAAGCTTCTTTCTGCTTTTTGACTTAATACCATGTGGGTATACTTGTGATGCATAGGGTTGTGTCATTTTTAACTTTCTCCCAAGGCCAGAAGCTAAATGTTGAAGGTTAGGAGCAGTTTGAGTCTCTAGTGAACTGGATACTGTGGCAATCTCTGAAGCTGTCAGGTCTTTCTGGGGCTCGGCTTGCCTATTCTCCATAGGTCGCTGCCTTTTTCCAAGTAGGAGTGAGGCTGGCAGAAAGAAAAGAACACTGCAAAGGTGAAAAGATGAGAGAAGTTTCTTTTGCATAAAAAAAAAATTGAAATGTGAGAGTGCAGTCTTAAAGTGCACTTCTTTGGGGCTTTGAACCGTGTACCCTCTTACCCCAAACTTATCCCCAGGAGTGCTTCCTTGATGTTCCGTTAATTGTTAGATTTTTTTCCCATAAAAGCTTTAAGTCTAGCTACAGGTAGTTTTAGTTCAATGCAAGAGTTGTCAGCTCTCCCCCCTCATTTCCCTTTTTACTATCAGGGGAAATACGGTTGATATCACACAACACAATCAACAAAGGCTACTGTTTTCCCCAGACTGACTTGTGTGCCTTTTTTTTTTTTTTTAAAGGATTAGATGTATTTAATACATTTGTGATCCCTTGTAATGTAGCTTTGCTGCTGCTATTGTTTCTGCGCCACGTTTTAATCCTAAGACCTGTTTTCTGCTTATCACAGGAGGCTGCATAGCTTTGCATAGAAACACCCTATTAAGAGAATGATTAAAATGCCTTCTCCGCTTCAGGTGCCTGCGTTGTTTGTCAAATAAAATGGAGGGAGGAGGAGAAAAAAGTTACATCCATCAATCACCTACGAAGAGGGAGTAGGGGGGGGTGGATGGATGGAGGGAATGAGTGTAGTTCTCCTCCTTTTGTCAATAAAACTCAGCCTGGAGTTAAGAGTGACATTTTGGCAATCAAAGCAATCTGATTTTTATTTGCTTTCCCAATATGTTGCCAGAGCAAAGTGTGTTTGTGTGCATGCGTGTGTTTAAGTAAAAGAGAGAGAGAGAGCAAAAGATGGGTGGGTGGGTGGGTGGGTTGGCAGGGTGCCGTTCAAGATGGTAAGAAAAAAAAGCAGTGAAGTCAGAAGAGTAACGACTCCCTCCCAAAATTGATTTATCTTTCTATAAATGATGGCTACATCCCCCCAAATGGATTTATAAATTAATTGCTGTCTTATTGGAATAAAAACCTTCTTGTGCGGACATGATTGATCGCCCGGTGTCGGTAGCCTGCGCTGGGGACCCCCCCTCCTCCTTTGTTAGTGGGTCCCAGCTGGAGCAGTAATGCACTGATGGTATTAACCCTGATTAATAACTAACAATACGCTATCCTCATACATCAACAGAGTGCCGTGGTGGACTGGGCATGGGACTGGCCAAGGCTGCTGCCAGCCTATCAGGGCATGAGTCCGGTCACCTTCAAAACTCTGCTGGCCAACAGGTAATACAGTTGTTTAATGTGTTATGTACACTGTGTATGTATTCACTGACAGAGGAGTCAGGGGCGTATCAAGATATGAAGGACTGGGTTGGCCAAAGTGGGGCCCAGTTATTTGCAGCTACGGAATAAATGTGTGTGCATATTCAAATAGCATTTCACACTTGTATAATTTAACTTCTACACTAAACGTATCTAAAATGTGTTATTCCTATATTAAGTGTTTTGACATTGTGAAAAAAAACACAACACAGTGCATCTCTACAGATCTTCAATGCTTAGTTCTAAAAAAAAATCTCAAAAGAAGTATCCCCAAACGTATCAAATAAGTGAACATTTGCATGTAACAAATGTTACTTAAGCACATAAATTGAATCGACAATATGTCCCACCTCTGACTGGGCAGATAGTCAATCTAGGTTTAGGATTATGGGGTGTCACATCAAAGTGGCCAATCAGAGTTCAGGGGCAGGGCATGATGCCCCAGGAAAGGAAATGAACTTGAGGTTAGTGTATGAGTGTGTAAGCATGTTAAGTATGAGTGTGATATTGAGTTTTCTGGTTTCAAGCATTCCTCAAGGGTGTTTGGAAACTCTTTATTTCAATAAATAACCGCTCTTCTCCCCCTTTTAATGCATTGCTACTTAATTAGTTTCTTTATCTTTTCCAAAATGTGATGCTTACTTGGGATTCTTAAGACAAATTCCCCACTGACTTTACTTCGCCACAAGCTTCAGGCATTAAGGACCATGAAGCCTACTTTCTCTTCATCAGCTGCTAAAGATTCTACTCTCAAAGGCTAAGGGCTCCTCTAACTTCCTCACTGGGGTCTGAGAACATGTCTGCAGGTTTCAGTGATGGAGGTATCTATGCTCTTAGGGTTCCTGAGGACTTTGAAACAACCCAAAAGAAGGTTAAAAATGTAAGTTCTGATCTTTGTGTCACCTGATTGAAGAGTTTTCGCACAAGTCCACCAGTCCTGTCCCATCCTTCACTTCAATTCCCCCCCATCCCTCTCCTCAAGTATTCTGCTCTGCAATGAGTATAAATATTTATGCAGGTTTGTGACACATATTAGATGGCAATACTTCAGGCTGTTCCCTGTTCCCCATTCACAGCTGTCACGCTGCCAGCTATCAAGGAGCCATGGGGCTACTGCACCTTGTCTCCGGGCCTACGCCCAATCCATTCTAAATCACCATTGTAACATACACACACACACACACACACACACACACACACACACACACACACACACACACACACACACACACACACACACACACACACACACACATGTGCACACACACTTTGCAAAGGGCAAGCTCTGCATCTGCCAAGGACACAGGTCTAATAAGGGTGAAGGAAGCTGCTCGGTGCTGTGACAAGCTTTGTCGCCTTCATGCCTCTTCCCACTCACACACATACACCCACTTCATTCTTCCTCCCCTTGTTGCATGGTAAAACAGATACTGTCACTGCTTGACTGAGCTAAATTAGTGTTGGGGCATTCATGACTAGAAACTGAAATAAGTGCTGAGATATTGGACTTGCAGTTTGAGATTGTGACTGACATGGGCAGAGAGGGAAGTAAATACTGACAAGGCACGAAACAGTATGAGGAGGGATGGGAGTGGGCAAAGGTTATATAATTCACCCTAATCTCACAGTATCAAAGTGTCTGAGATTGTGCCGTTTGCCTCATTAGCCTCTCTTTGTTGGGCCAGAGGAGCAGATTTCATGGAGGATTTGGAGAATGGCTTTGGTTCTGCCTGAGACGCTTGCACAGAGGAGGAAGTTAGTTTCACGGCTGGCGACGTGTAAGCTGTCAAAGTTTTCCTCAGATCCATCTCTCAGACTCAAAAATATCTCCCAAGCTATAGAAGACCAGTGACGGGATAAGCACACTGATGTTGGATCCACTGATCCGTTTGTTAGTGCAGATAAGGATAAAGATTTCTGCATAACCGCAGACTGAAGTGCCCTCGGCTGTTTTCACTGAGGTTTCGCAACAATTACTCTTTTACTTCTTCCTGTTGCCATGGACAAAAAACACAGGATATAATCTTACATACTAGACAATATAAATGATAACTATGCCACTTCACACTGAAATAAAACACCACACATCTTGACCTTGTGACGTTCTGAATGTTCCATCTTATAAGTTTGATTCTCCTTGAATGACTTCCCTTCCCTGCCAGCCAATATAATTTTTTTCCCTCCCTGAACGATGTGAGTTAGCCGTGTGGCCCGTTGGCCTCCTATATATTGTTACAGTGGCAGGACAGTTATTGTGTCCAGGGTTTATATCACATTCTAATGGAGAAAGGCTATGAGTTAAGAGCGGCAGGCTTTTACACCAGGGCTGTTAAATCACTGTTCAGATGACTTCATTAGCAGAGCAGGACACATGCTGAGACACACATAAACACACACACATACACACACATCCGCTTTCCCCCTGCTACCTTGACAGTGTAGCGTCGTGGCCAGACAGGAGGGAGAGTGGATTTATACAGGTGTGTGTGTCCTTCTTTGTCACCTGTCACTTCAGCTCCTTCAGCACGACGGCTCATCCATCATCTGCAGATTGAGCTTTTCAGCAGAAACCAGACTGATTAATACTACCCCAAGACCCCCCAGGGTTGACTGGCTGACTGGTTGACCTGGCTTCCTGGCACGCTGGAGGTTTGAATGGAGAGATGGATGACTTATGGGTGGGCTAACTTTTCAGCAAGCTTATTTGCTGGCTTAATTTGGACTATTTTCTAGACTTGTTAGGTACCTCCTTGTCAGTGCAATAGTTGTAAGAAGCAGTAATTAGTTGAATGGTTCAGGTGGTTTAATGACAGGCTGAATGTTTTTTTTTTTTGACTGGATGTTTTGGAGACTGACTAGCCTGTTGGTTTTTTCACTATTTCGGATAGATGACAGGTGTCGGAATTGATTGATGGCAAGATTATTGGCTGCCTGGGAGGATAACTGGTTTGGTGTTTTCTGATGACTAAAAGTCTACTCTGTAATTTGTTTCTTTACTGCCTTTATTCAGATACAGAAGTTTTTGAAAGATTTGTTGTGCTTTTCAGTCTTGATTGATAGGTCAGCTAGAGAGACAAGAAATGTGGGGAGAGAGTGGGGGTTCACATGCACCAAACAGTGTCAGGATCGGGGAGATCCAAACAGCGACCAGTGCGTCCAGGACTTCAGGGGCGCCTGTTCGACAAACTGAGACTGCACCCCATATGCTGTACAGAGGTTTTGATTTGTACTTTCAGCTTATTTTTCTCTTATACATTTGTCGTTATCCCCCAGTCTTATTATTTTATTAATCATGTTATTACCATCTGTGTGAACTCTAATGTGGTCAGTTTGCAGTTATTTACTATAGTAGCTGTATTATTAGAGTTTAATAAAAGTTATTCAAACAGAATTCAATTATTTCAGTTCATGGCCAAGCCTTTGTAACACCATAGACTCTGATTTGTAACCTCTAATTGAATTTTGCTTTAGTGAGATTTCTTTTATAAGCCAAAATAAATTACATTAAAAAAAAATTGTTAAATGTGCACCTTTGCCAAGTCTTCGTAGTAACTATCTACAGATTGCAATGTTGTCCCATTGCCTCGCCATTTGACTTCCTGTTGTGAGCCAACCTTTGATGTAAATGCAGGAAGTCAAAAGTACTGAGTGATTTACCGAAACAGAAAACCAATCTGCTCTGTCCTTGATCACTCTTTGAAATCCCCCTTTCTTTAGTGAACATACTTTACTCCTTCATAGCGGTGAGTCGAAAAATAAAAGTAGCAACGTGATCCCTATTTTGACTGGATTTCATGTTAACAGTGTTTGCCTTTCTCTCTCATATTTTAACGTTATTTGATCAGGAGGCCTTTATGAACTTCAATCTTCTGTGTCATTCTCATTTTTTCCTCCAAGATAACTAAAGTTCATCTCTGGAAGACTAAAAAATGTATGCCACAGACTAAAGTCTCATTTAAAGTGTCATCTACCAAGGTGACTTTTTGAGACATTTTCCTTGTATCTGTGCGTCAGAAAAGGTCCTCTGACCTGGTTGATAAGAGGTAGCCAAGTATGAGGGATGAAGCCTCATGTGTCACAGGGCGGCTCCTACACTCCATCATAAGGACCTCATATCATCCAAGGACATTCATGCTTACATCTAAACGTTACTCCACTAGGTACCGTTTTCTTACAACATTGGAAAGCAGGATATATCAGTTTAAATGCCTTGGCCTGACTAGTTTTCTATAGGTAATATTCTAAGAGTGTGCACTTGACCTCATGATTTTATTTCACACAATGACAGTAAGAAAGCCCTAGCAGCACTGACCCACACATTTGTTAGCTTAATGTGCTAAGCTACTTTGTAACTACTGAACATTAAAGCATTTTTTTCTGCATTGTCTCATTGTTGCAGTTACCCCTCAGGTCCATAACAATAGCAGTTTGTGGAAAAATGCCAGTCTGTAGCATTCTCTTGCTTGAGCGGCTCCTTAAATTGCAGCGATAGACGCTTGTGCTTTCAGGAAGTGGGCAATCGCCATCTGTTCCCTGGCTCTGCCATATGGCGGGCCTTTTTCTCAGGGAATAAAATAAAAACAAATATGTCAGAATGCTCGTCTTCCTCCACGGACGCTGATCAACCTGGGGAGAAGCTGGATCTCAGTGTGTCTGGATTAATGGTCTTACTTTATGCTTCGGGGAATGAGGGAGTGTGTGTTTGCAGGAGGTGCAGCTTGGTGCATGTGTGTCAGAGCGTGTGCGCATGTGCAAACCCTGTGTGAGGGTTTGCACATGCTAATGCACATTTATGTACCTGGAAGTATTTCCAGAGTCATTCATCTGACTTAAAGGGCAACCATTACTGTAACATTTAGAGCAGTTGGTTGCCCTAGTCTTGGAAGCATTAAACAACACAGGAGGAAAAAGAGCTTCAAGGTTAGCTGAAGTGACATTTCATGGTTGCCACTGCCAAAGAA